ACTACGTATGCAATAAACGTTGAAATTGATGTATTTCAGGGTCTTATGATAGACAGATTCAGTAGCCGAAATTGCATTCTGATAAATCGGCGACCAAACCAGTGTAGCATGTCAGTTTACTCCTAATAAAAGAAGTATATATTGTTGTAAGGCTGTTCATATTAGCAAAACCCGACCAGTTTCTGACATAGTATCCTAATATTTTATTTGGTGAAGAGACCATTTACAAAAAGGTACGGCTCGGAAACCCTTCAACATTTTATCACCGTATACTTCCATGATGGCAAATATGTTAAAGTTTTTATCAAAATTCAATAAATAATTCTGGGTGTTGCATTTTATATGTCACTTAGTATATTTAGTTTGTTGCCAACGCACCATTTACTCAACCTATTCAGGTCTTATTTACAATTGTTTTGACATTGTTCAAGCAAAATTAGAGAGGTATGCGTTTGAAACAAAAACTTTCATTTTTTTGGGACACCCTTATGTCACATCCAGAAAATACGAGGGTGGATCAAAATATAAACAGGAATTCTCCCTTTAATATTTATTTGTTCATAATTATTCACATTTTTCCCAGCGATTTGGAAGCGTAAAAATTCCTTGCTAGTAGAAACTTTGAGGTTGAGTGAGCAACCGATTGCGCACAAAGTCCTCCACATCTCGATTGTTGTCGAATCGCAATCGATCCTCCAAGTGCATCTTTCATGGATGCAAAGAAATGATAGTCACAGGGTGACAAACCTCAGGCTTTAACGCATTCCTTTATTATAACTGGCTGTACTGACGCATTGACTAAGCGGAACAGCTCACCACGCGTTATTCCCGCTACACTGCAAGGACCTACACTTTGAGAGCGCTAAGAAAAGTATTTGTAAAATTCCGGTTTATATTTGAACCACCCTCGTATATCTCAGGATTAGTGGAAAGTAAATTTTTTTTAACAAATCTGCACAGCATTACCACCTGGCAAGTCTCAAGTAGTAGTAAGAGTGATGTTATTCGGGTAAGACGTCAATCGTTAACTCTATAGTACATATCTAGAATCTCTTTTTTTGAAATGCTGAATCTCGTTGTCCTAAGCTGATAATTTGATACGTTATTTGTGTGTTTGTGTTTTTTCATATTATTGGCATTAAATACTTTTTGAGAATATGTTTTTATTGCGTTGTAGATTGTAGTTATAACCACTGATAGTCATTCAAGGTTCTTGACACGACGAACGAGAATACATCCTTAATGATATGCGAATATTTAACGGTGCGAATCTACATGTTAGTTTGCTTTATAAACTATGGTCCAAACATGTTTCCTTACAAAAACTCGGGGTGGTGAAGTTTTAGGGTAAAAATGGAATTTAATTAATACTTTCAGAACCGCTTCAGATACTGATATTTAGTACGTAGTGAAAGTTAATAAAGTTGCATATTTTTCAATGCAAACATAATTTTTAGCTTTAACAGTGACGTGCGTACCGGTATTGACTGAGATATTTTTTAAGAAAAAAATGGTACGCCAATGGTTTTTTGCCATATAAAAATGATTTTTGAATTTCCCGTTCAATTTAAAACAAATGATCTCTCTTGAGTTGCTTTCCTTCGATGCGCCATTTTTGAGTAACAAAATAAAAACCGTTCTATTGCCCGAGAAAATTAATGTAATATTTTTTTTTTGTGAGCGGTCCGCTACAACGTCTGCTCATGTGTTTCAGTCTCTGGGAACGCCGGGTTGGTTCCCTTTACCTCACACAGTTCTATCGATGTCGTTAAGCGAGCATCGATATAGGTTTGCTATGTTCTCTTGAAGCTCTTGTTTTCGAAAAATCAAGAGTTTCAAGTCCTCTACTACTAGTATGTTACCTGGTCCTGATGGGTCCTGGTCCTGGTCCTGGTCCTGATGGGTCCTGGTCCTGGTCCTGGTCCTGATGGGTCCTGGTCCTGATGAGTCCTGGTCCTGGTCCTGGTGGTTCCTGGTCCTGATGGGATCTGGTCGTGGTCGTCCTGGTCCTCGTCCTCTGCTTCCACGCCGTGGGGGGAAGCAACCGCGGGTTCTCATAGTCTCCTAGTCAAGGTTCCAGTGAGCGGGTGCCAACTGGGACCTTAGTCTAGGGTACTTGGTTCTGCGGTTGCGAGGCCTCTCGTCCGGATCATAGTCCATGAGGAATCGTAGCTGCTCGTTCGGGTGGTCCTGAGCTTTCTGGAAGGTCTTCTCCGCTTTTTCCCTCATGTACTCGTGAATGGTGTCCCAATGCAGGTCTCTACGCAAGGTTGTGTTTCTTACGTAGGATGGTGCACTGGTGGTGATCCGGTGTAGCTTCATCTCTAGAGCAGCAAGTCGCTTGCGGTAGCTGGGAGCAGCGTACCCCCAGACCGCGGAGGCGTAAGCGAGCTGAGGTCTGGCGATGGCCTTGATCAGCCGTAGCTTGGTCGCTAGCGGCTTCCGGCTGTGTCTACCCAGTAATGGGTAGAGTTGAGCCATGGCTGCTCTGGTCTTTGCGATGACGGCTTCTATGTGGTCTTTCTAGGTGAGGGACTTGTCAAATACGATCCCCTGATATTTGACTTTGGATATCTTCGTCGAAGATGGATGCTTCGAGAGGTCTTGCAATCCTTCTTCGTTGGATGAAGATTGCCTGCGTCTTCTGGACGTTGATGCGGATTTTCCATTTCACGCACCAGTCCTGGATGTGGTCCAGTTCATCCTGTAGTCTCCTACGGATGATCTCGGGTCGTCGATGCTTGGCGGCTATAGCAGTGTCGTCTGCATATAGGGCCAGCATTGTGTCAGCTGTTTTCGGCACAGCGTGAGTATAGATGTTGTAGAGCAGGGGGGCTAAGGCTGACCCCTGGGGCATGCCTGCTTCCAGCTGTCGTCTTGTTGAGTGGCATGTACCAATATTCACCGTGAACCATCTCTGTGTTAGATAGCTCTGGATCAGTCGGCACATGTTTGCATCGATTCCGGCGGCTTCCATTTTGGCGACGAGTCCATCGTGCCAAACTCGATCGAAGGCTCGTTCCACGTCCAGCAGGACGAGGCCGGTTGCCTCCTGGAGATTGAAGCCACTGGTGATGTTTTCTGTCAGTCGTAGCGCTTGGAGTTCCGTGTTGTGGGAGGATCTGAAGCCGAATTGCTCTGGGGGGAGAAGTTCCAGTTCTTCTGCCTGCTTCTCTAGTCGAACGGCGATAGCCTTTTCGACTGCTTTGCCCATCGAGGAAACCAGGCTGATGGGCCGGTAGTTCTGGGGCAACTTCCGGTCCTTGCCTGGCTTGGTGAGCATTATAACCGGGGCTTCCCGCCACCGCCGCTGGAAGTGGTTAAGTCTCAGAGTGGCATTGGCGATGTTGGTGATCGCAGCAATGCCTTTGGAGGGAAGGTTCTTCAGCATCCTGTTGTTGATGCCGTCCCTTCCCTAATAATTGAAGAATTCAATTTAGCAATAAATATCTGTTCGCTGTGACATCTTTTTCATTATTTAGTTTTTACAATCTTGTTAATAATGATGAATTATTCAAATGCTGAAATGGCGGAAATGCATTACGTATATGGCCTTGCCGACGGTAATGGTGAGCAAGCCAGACGGATTTATCACCAGAGATATCCCGATCGTGCTTTTCCAGATAGTCGAACCTTTTCTAATATTCATCGTCGTCTTGTTGAAACTGGTTGTGTCCGAAAAGGTACATCTGAAGGTAGACCTCTAAGTGTGAGAACACGTGAAATTGAGGAAGCAGTGTTGCACGAAGTCGAAGAACATCCTGAAACGAGTACGAGGAAGATCTCTAGACACTTAAATATTTGCCATCAAATTGTTTGGAGAATTTTAGTGGATTCTTTCTTACATCCTTGCCATATTTTAAGAGTACAGGCATCACTTCCCATTGATTTTCAAAGGCGTGTGACCTTGTCAGTGGTATCTTCAAAAAATTACACAAAATCCGCAATTTGAATCAATGACGAACGAAGCTAATTTTTCTCGAAATGCCATTCAGAATTTCCACAATAATCATTTGTGGGCAGAACAAAATTCCTATGCCTTAAATTAATAATAATTTTGCAAGTTAGACAATAGAACGGTTTTTATTTTTTTACTCAAATATGGCGCATCGAAGGAAAGCAACTCAAAAAACCATTGGCGCACCATTTTTTCCTTAAAAAATATCGAAGGCAATACCCGTACGCACGCCACTGTTAAAGCTAAACATTATTTTTGCATTGAAAAATATGCAACTTTATTAACTTTCACTACGCACTAAATATCACTGAAATGTCTGAAGAAAGGAAACATTTTTGGACCATAGTTTATAAAGCAAACTAACATCAATTTTTCATGTAGATTCACAGCCTTAAATATTCGCATATCATTAAGGGACACCCTGTATATTGAAATGAATGTTGAAGGACTTCAGAAAAAAATCAGAATGATGCTGCTAGTGAAATTGGTTGAAATAACCGGCAATACCTACTGAATGAACATTTAAAATTTGATCCCTTGATCCCCAGAGAAAGAAATCCAATATCGTGAGATCTGGGCTCCGGGGAGTCTGGCTTTTTAATTTGGGATTTTCTGCGGCCCAGTACCGATAATTTTCCATCCACCCAAATGAAAATGAGCTTCATCAGAAAAGAGAATGTTGTTCAATCTTGGAAAGCGCTCTAACATTGTTTCGGCAAACGCACGGCGTAGATGGTGGTCCTGCGGTTTCAATTCTTGCACTAGTTAGTTGACTGCTGCAATTTAAGGTCTGACCAAATACACCTTACAGATGTTCTTTCGGAATGATACAAACTTCGCTTACAGTTTCCTGTGTTCTTATTGACCTTGGACCTTGGATTCACCCCGGAACGGGTAGACTCGAACTTTCTGACCCACGACTTTCACTAGGACATTGATTTAGTTCATGTAAACTAAACAGACGCCGCGTAATATTAACTTAGGCTTAAAGGATAGTGCTAACCGAGAATCATTTGAAAACCTAGAATATTTTTACCAACAGATCCGTACCTCGCACGGGACAGACAGAACGAGTTCGTCGCCAAATAGCCAACAACAGACAACATAATTCCCAACAAAACGATAGTGGAGTCGCTATGTCCACTTCCAGTTCCCTGCAAGACTCTGTTTCGAGCTCGACGTCCAGGTCGAAACGCACCAAGAAACACAAGAAGTCCAAGAAGAAGTCCAGGAGCCAACTCAGGTACAAAACGGTGTACGAAATCGATAAGGAAACCGGACTTACGATCGCGGTACAGAAAAGACAAGTGCGCAGAGGCAGGAAGCAAAAATCGGCGAGGAAAGTGAAGAAAAAGTCTGTCAAGGGAAGAATCGCTAGACAGTTGGGGCTAGGCGCGAACTCTGCAGCTCCACAAAGTTTGATAGGTGCTTCACGTCAGCCTGATAATATCAGCGGTCTTCGTCACCAAGCAGGGATTCCAACATTACATTTATTCGGTAGAGCAAACGAGCTGGATTACTTCTCAGAACCCGATGAAGAAGACTACATCGTCGGTCCTCAATTATTAACGAGAAGAGCTCCAAATCAATCGGACGTGGCGGCAGTTCGAAGACTTACAAGAAGGAAAGCTTTGATCAACATGCCACCTGCTGCAACAGTTTCCAGTTCCACGGATCTTCTTGATAGCATTTTATGTTCCCAGGAGCAGTTTCATTCCAGAAATGCGTCTTTCTCAGTGGATGGAGAAGGAAAGTTCAAAATCGAAGTGGAAAAGCGGAAAGACTTGAAGAAGGAGCAGAGTGGCGCTAAGGAAGCGCCCAACGGATACAACCCAAATAGGTCTTATGGGGGATACAATAATCGGTATAGAGGGTATCAACAGAATAATTATAATAGAAGACATAGTAGTTATAATAGCTACAATAACGGAAATCAGAATAATTATTACTCAGGAGGAGGAGGGGGAGGAGGAGGAGGTGGTCCTTCATCTTCTTGGCAACATAACAACTATGACAGATACGGAGGCGGTAGGGGCAATGATTATGATTATCCTCAGGATTATACGCAAAGGACATTATGTGCTTCAAGCGAACCTGATTACCCTGAAAGAAGAGAAGAAAATGAAGAAAACAATGAGTCAGAGTTGGACATATATAGTGACATAGAAACAGTGTCTACAAGCAGAGTAGACGAGCCTGACTTCAACAGGCCTCCGTCGCCACCGCACGCGGCAATGGGCGCTTTGAACACTGCCGAAGATGAAGAAAATAATGATAGCGAACCAGATATGGTCATCGACGATGATAAAGTTCACGAAGATAACAGAGAAGAAACTGCAGTTTCTTCTACTGTAGGTTTCGGTTATCTACCCCCACCACCTATGCCCCCAAACTTGGATTTTATCGACGCAGACTGTTCCGAGATTCAATCCGAAGCTATCCAATCCTCCCAACCTTCTTACTACAAAGAAGACGAAGAATATACTGACGGTTGTCCGAACGCTAGCGTCTACTCTCAACAACCTTACCACAACTCGATGACAGACCCGCCTGACGATCAAGACGAAGAAGAAGATGAAGGTTGTCCGAACTTCAGTATCTACTCGAGAGAAAGCAAGAATGTGGCGCTTCATACTGATCTAACCATGTCTGCGCATCAAGTTAGCGAAATCAGCTCGTCGCCGAATATTGAAGAACGATCCGTAGATCAAGGAAAATCCGAGGCGTACAATCCAGAAGTTCCCTCTCACGATGATGAAGCTCAAAACGATGCACAAGCGGAGTTGTACGATCCTGAAGATATGAAATCACCATCCAGCCAGAGCGACATACCTATGCCTCCGGATCCAGTGCTCACCAACATTCCTATTCCAGAAGAACCTCAACAAGTTGGTGATGATCAGTACGATCCTGAGACTGCCTTGAATGAGTGTGATGATGTGGAAACGCAAGAGAATGAAGTCGCAAACATTATCAATGAAGAACAAACCGAAACAACGGGGCAAGGTCCAACAGTCTTGGAGGAAAATCATGAAATAGCTCCTGAAAGAAACGATCAGCAAGCCTCTGAAACAAAAGATTCTAGAGAAGATTTCCAGCAAGGTTCTGAAGAAAACGAACCGGCTCCTAGAGATAATGATGACCGAGAACCAGCACTTGACTTGGACGTCTCCGGAGACATATTGAGTACCACAGTCTCGCCTAAGAAGACCCCCAAAACGATAATAGTCTCCAAAGTTGATATTATCAAACCTGGAGGAGTTTTGGGTGGCTTGTACAGTGATTCAGAAGATGAAAGCTTCGTCAAGAAAGACGGTGATCTGTTTGGTGTCTCCGAAGCTAACAAGTCTAAAGAATCTGATGATACCGAACAAACAGACGATAAAGATGACAACAAAATGACAGAAGATATTGTGAGTGAAGAGGAAAGAAGCTATACTCCATGTTTGGATGAAAAGAAACGTGGCATTGAAGGTTTAGATACAGAAATGATCTCGGATGAAGATAGAAATGATTTTGATGAGTCTCATGAAAAAACTGAAAATGATGGTGAAACTTTGGAATTAAATGCTAAAGAGTGCGAGTTGGAACTAAGACCTGAAGATTATGAGGAAGGAGAGATTGTAGATAAAGGAAAAGAGGCAAAAGTCGATGCAGTAGCGAAATCAGATACTGAGGAGAGCGTTAAAAAAGAGAAAAAGAAGGATGATAAAGAAAAGAAATCCAAGAAGAAAGAGAAGAATAAGGAGGCGAATAAAGAAAATGAGAAGACGGAGAAAGGGTCGTTCAAGAAACTGAGTAAGAGTAGCAAAGGGAGAAATTATCGAGGTGACAAGGACAAAGATAAGGGAAACGATGAAAGTAAGTCTAAAGAAAAGGAGAGTAAGGAGAGAGATAAAGCGAAAGATCAACCGAAAAAGAAGAAAGAAAAACGCAAGGAGATAGAAAGATACAACGTTCGAGCTTTAGTCGCAGAAAAACCGGCTATCAAAAGGGACGAGTTCGGACGAGACATCCGACAAACTCCTTCGCGTTCCAGAAGCGGATCTTATACACCGCCTCCGCCGAGAAGGTCAATCTCGAGACATCGCAGTCCCGCGCGCCACTTGAGAACACCGTCGCCGAGGAGGTCGATATCTCCGCGCAGAAGGTCGCTATCCCCGAGAAGGAGGTCGTTGTCTCGCAGAAGGTCATTGTCGCCTAGAAGGAGGTCGATGACTCCGCGCAGGAGGTCCGCATCGCCAAGAAGGAGATCGCTACCTCCGCGCAGGAGGAGGTCGAGGTCGGCGTCGAGAGATAGATCGAGGAAGAGACGGAAGAGGTCAAGATCGGCGTCTCGGCCGAAGAAGAGGACCGCGTCGAAAAATAAGAAGAGGAAGAGGTCGATCAGCAGGCATAAGAGGAATAAGTCGAAGAATAGGAAGAAGAGGAAGAATAGAGGTAAGTCGATAGAATTAAGGTATACATTTTACAGGTGTTTTAATTGATGGCTAAAAACACAGGATATGATTCCTTAGCTCACATTAGGAAGAAAACCTCTTAACTTATTGATGTGTGTGTACATTCGTAATTCCATTAAAGTTCGCTTTTTTACACTTAAAGCCTTTTCAAGTGCAACTAGTGATTCTGCTACGCTATCTCCCCAGCCAACATACAATGGAAGTAGGAAGCTTTAACTGTAGTAATTTTTTTTGTACCGAAGCAGCCGGGTCTGTATGGCAGGCACATCGCGCGTCGGCATCATGGAAGAGAACTCTGAGACTGTTTGTTTTTTATATACTCCAACTACCACAAAGGCCTAAGGCCTAAACACCCATTGGGGCTATAGGGGGATACAGGGGAAAGGGGGAACGCCACACGGACTCTGGCGAGGGAACACGTGTGCATGCACCATGCACACATTCTGGCTCCGCCTACGATATCCGCCGGGTGGTACCTCCACGTTCGACAGTCGGAGACCGTCTACCACCTACGGACAATCACAACATCTATAGCAAAGAGAAAAATTTCTCCTGGGACGGGACTCGAACCCGCACAGCGCACGGCGACTGATCAGGAGACCGAAGAGTCTACTACTGCGGCCACCGCTGCTGCCTAAGAAGAAGAGTTATCGATCAGTCGGACAGCCCTTCTCTGGACAACATCGGGCATAGGTAATATAGTCGGGCGGCGGCACCCCAAACGTGTGAGGAATACTCGAGGCTAGGCCTTGCATAGAGTGAGAAGGTCATGCGGAAGTACAGCAGACGCTCGATAATGTAAACTAATCCAAGTGTGGTTCACATTATCGAAATGTTTACATTAGCGAACGTGATTTATATAATATTTGATTTATTAAAAGAAACGTTTAATACATACTATTTATAACAAAATAAACAAATATTCTAACAGCGATAAGTATTTTTTTAATTAGAAGAAAAATAGTTAACAATTTTTGTCCGCGTAAATTTGCGCTTAGCATCGTCTTCCAATGCCTGCGCCCGTAATTTACGAAGAACTAAAATATCCGTGTATGAAACTTCTGTTCTTTCAGCCCAATCTAAAGCTTGGTTAAAAACTTGTATAGCTTGCGCGTCAGTCACTACACTTCTGACTTCAATGGAATAGTTCTCATCATCCTCACTGTCCAAATCCTCCTCCTTATCAGCATCATTCGTCTGATTATCTTCGTTCCATAAATTAATATCAGCAGGAGTACAAACAATGTTGGGATTCACTGTTTTCAATAAATCAACAACATCCAATGACACACTAATAACATTATCATTATTGGATCGCTAATTACGCTTAAGGGGAGATCATCTTCTTCATCATCTTCATTATTGGTACAAAAGAGATTGTTCCAACATTTTTGAATAGTTTGCTGGTTAATTTCATTCCAGGCCATATGTAAATCTAAAACAGCTTCTCGTAATGTTACTTTTTTTAAAGCCTCAGATAAGTTTTCAGGATTCTTTGATAAGACAGACGAAAGTAGAAACTTCCTATAGTAGTAGTGGTGAGTCTTATTATATTCTGGTCCATCGGTTGAATTAACGGTGTTACGTTGGACGGCATGTACATGACGAAAATTGACCCATCCCTGCTCCTCAGTTGTTGCTGGGGAGGATGACTTGGTGCATTATCCAATAGTAACAACGCTTTTATTGGAAGCTTCTGTTGTTTTAGGAAACCTTTTACCTACAAATTGAAAACACATCTTCAAATTATGAATAGAGCATTTGTGATAATTGATTGCCATGCCTGAGGGACAAAGCACCTGTGGAACCATTTCAGGAATATACTGCTAGTCATCCAAGCGGATTTTGAACAGTCATAATCAACAGGAATATTAACAGTTTTAAATGAGCGTGGATTTTTTTATAGTTAATGTCAACGAGGAAAGCGATAGCGACAGTTCATTACTGTCAGATGTAAGTGGAAGCGACGATGAATAAAGATAATTCCCAAATTTTTGACTTACAATATGTTTCAAACCACTCTTTATTAAGCATGTGACAAATCTAGTTCACCCATGTTAAACATTCATACCCCGCCTATGAACAGCCGACTACTGGTAGTTAAGTGATGTTCACGTGAACATCGATGAGTCATTACAGTTTTAGATAGTTATAGCACAGCCGACGTCAACTACGAGCCGTGCTGAAAGAAAGGCAACACCGCGCTCGGACGGCATGGTAGTGCTACCTGTGAACGTCGGCCGCCAGCGGCTGTGTGCTCCGTCTCCGTTTAACGTTCAAGAACTAAATTTAATTTTGGAAAAGAGGACAGTTCGAATCGATACAAATCATCTGAATATGAAATAGCTCTAAAAAATTTAAAAATACGAAATAATCGTGATATATATGAGTCGCTAATGCAGTTAACCTAATTAAAAGTATTTAGTTTACGTGTTTTGGTGTCAGCACACTGTGTTCCAACAGGCCCAGCTTGGAAATGTGGAGTTACCTGTTTGTTTTTAATACATTTACTTTCAGTATAACTGTTATTTTTCAATTTTACATAATCATTCAAAATTATGTTTAAAAAAATAGACAAAAGCTTAGATAAAATATCTGCATAATTGCAGCCACAGATGCAAGTTAAAGAAAATTCACTGTATATAAAGTCAGACTGAATGCTGAGCAAGGTTAACTGACACAAAATAAATTTTTGATTATTGCTTTTCAAGAAGAAAATTTCCAATCTATCTACATTAATAATAGATTCAAAAATGGCATACATATGGTAGAATATGATTGGTACATAACTGGTTGGAATTGACAGTCCTCCTCTTTGCAAATGATCAAAATAAACATTTGTTGTTAATGAACCTTTTTCTTTAACTATTAGCGATTTGCATATCTCGCAGTTTAGGTTTTTATATATAGATATATATTTTATATATAGATAGCATGTCAAGCATATCCAGATATATAAGTCTTAGTACTATCCTCTATGTCACAATTGGCTAAGTAATTTGTCTCAAATACTTCATTGAATATATCCAAAACTTCAGGATTTTGTTTGGTATCCAAGAAATCAAAATTTTCTTGAGTTTCTAAGCAGTTTTGGAACCTTGTTTTAATTTCTGCTAAAGAAAATGACGATTTCTTTTCATTGAAAATATGCTTCAGCCGTATTTTCTTTTCAGCATTTAAAATTTCATCATATGACACATTGTAATTGCAGCCACATAAAAGTCTATAATTGCCAAATCGTTTTTCTAAATTATCAGTGGTGAATTTTCCAGGCAATACATACTCAATGTCAAATTGATTAAATGAATATTCAATTATATTAAGTAGAGTCAGCGTGCTTTGATATAGAGCTGTATACATTTCTGGTGTCAGGTGTCCATTATTATTCTCTAGATTATGCCATTTTTCTAACCATATCAGGAATTTTTTTAAAAATTGTACTCTATAATCATATTTATTGGTAATAGGCTTACAAAATTCATTTCGCTTCAATTCTCCTTTTATTACACTTGTATTACTGACAATATCCCACCAATTCCTGATTATTTCCAAAAAGTGTGCAGCATCATTAAACTTTAATTCTTTCATAGCAGCTATTGTTGAGTGATGGAATAAATTATCTATTATTTACATTTTGCCTTTCAAATGAATTTGGATGCAATGTTTTATAATTTAATTTATATGCTTTCTTAACTACAGCTTCTTTTTCCAATTGATATACAGCACGAATGTTTTCAAATTTAGCATACTGAATAATATCATTATTGTCAAAATTAGGATATACTAAAGTTTTGTCTAGGTTTTTTAAATTAATCCAATTATTTCTGATACTCTTGAAAATATGCACAACATCATAAGTTAAATATATGTTCTTATCAGGATTATGTGGATTTGGAATAGAATAATTTTCTGATGAATCCTTTGCTAATTTCCTGAACATTGCTCTATTAATTCGGTGATTATCAGTAACAACACAAATAACTTCAAATCCACATTTTTGAACTAAATTTATCACATGTTCAACCAAAGGTGTCATTTCATCACCTGTTAGATTTGAAACTGTTAGTAATTTGATAACTTCTGTTATGTTTCCAAATGCTGAAGATAGCATGAAGGCTAAAACAGTTTTAGCCATGTCATTTTTATTTTAAATTTGAAAAATACAACCAGAATTTGCACGTTTTCAATAGTTGAAATCCTTAGCGTCCTGAGGCGCGAACAGCCACAGTCACACTTCTTAGTTTATTTTTAAAGCACAGAAGCACTACAACTGGAGTCTATTTCTCATATATTATAGTCACCGGTCACTTTGAACACATACACACACTTTGAAGCTTAGAAAACAAGCTTATCTCTTAATTACAACCTCTGCGATTCCAAAATCACAAATTGAAAAGGTTATGTTTTCTCAGCGTTTTGAGCGGCGGGAGTAATACTACCACCTACGTTGCCAGATTTCTTTGTTCACGGCTCGTAGTTGACGTCGGCTGTGGTTATAGTATAGTACTTCTTTAACATCGTTTTATACGTATAATTCCAGGTAGAAGTAGAAGTCCGAGCCGATCCCTCTCCGAATCCCCGCGAAGGATGAGAATGGACTGGACGCGACCCGATTGGTCCCCCGAGTATTCCATGAGCCCGCTGCCCCCTATGTCCCCATCGTGGACGCCCCCCAGGGACCACTTGCAGTTGATGCGCGGTCAGAATCTCGCCGTTACGGTGAATAACCCGAAAAAGAAGAAAGATAAAAGGAAGAAGGAGAAGAGAGGCAAAGATTCGACTAAGAGGAGGAGGAGGTTCGAGAGGGAGAAGACACCGCCGCCGTCTAAGGAGGTCTTCGCGTCTGGAGATAATATTCTGGTGAGTAGTAACGGATTATGTTAAAATGTCGTATGATACTGAATGGTCAATTTATCAGAAGATGCCTTATGTTTTTTTTTAAATTTGTAGTATTCGAATTTTTTACTATTTTGATCATTAACCAGTAATTTGAATTTCTCTTTGCCAGTGGTAGAGTGCTCATTCCTAGGCCTAACCTTTTTCAATGATTTCCTTTTGGCAAATTTCATAGTCTATTGATTGTACTGGGTGCGCCATCTATTACTTTTTTTTACCTATAAGTTTATGTGTTACCATGTGAGTCAAAAGTCATGTGTTATGCATAAATGAACTGTCAAAGTTATGCCATTTATAGTCATGGATTCGTTTACAACACAACAACGCATTTTGGTTATCCAAACTTATTACGAAAACGGTCGAAGTACTTTTCGCAAACTTGAAAAAGTGACTGTTTGGTGCGGATTATGGGCTGGTGGCGTTTTTGGACCAATCTTCTTTGAACATGCCGAAGAAAAGGCCATTACCGTCAACGAGGAACGTTATCGTGGCAGGTTAACACACTTTTTGTGGCCGCAATTGAATCGTATTGGTGCTGACAATCTTTGGTTTCATCAAGACGGAGCAACGGCTCACACATCTCGCCAAACAATCGCCTTATTGCGCACCAAATTTCAAGACCGCATAATTTCATGAAATTCAGATGTCAGTTGGCTCCCGAGATCGTGCGATTCAACACCTCTTAACTATTTTCTTTGGGGATTTTTGAAAGGAAAAGTATATGCGAATGGTCCCCTGACAATTCAAGACCTAAAACGCAACATTCGGACTGAAATTGCGGCCATAGACCCGATTATTCTGCGAAAAGTCATTGAAAATTTTGATGTTCGGATGCTTGCCTGTAAACGAAGCCGCGGTGGTCACATGACTGATGTTATTTTTCATACATAAATGGCATAAACCCATTCATTTATCAATAAAAAAAAATCGATTTCACCTCGTAAAAAGCTTGTTGATTTTTCACCCTGTATAATTTCACATGTATTATATCTTTCTTTCTCAGCGATTCAGTATTGTGTTGGAGTCTTTTGGTCACTAATGTTACAGTATTTTATTAACGAATATCTCAGAAATGTCCTCATAAAATATCGTTTGTCCCTCGTAGGGTTGGTTCCGCCCATTGGCAATCAGCGCCACTCTGTGGTTTCTATACGTAGTAACCTATATTTGGTTTCCTGTCAAGATACCTTTTTTGCCTATCAAGATACCTTCTATACCTAACAAGATACTTTCTTTACCGGTACCTTTTGATTTCCTATCGCACATACCTTCTTCATGGCCACTCATTTTAACCTTCTTTTACAAAGTTAGGTGTTCTGCGTCACTTTCACTTACCTGCCGAGACCGTGGTGTGGGCGTCGTTTCGTTAACTGTCAGATTCTGGGATATTAGACCCCAAAATATCAGTTTATGGAGTAGTACCCCTTTTATTTGGTATCTTACGTTTAGTTGTTTTGGTTTGGGTGCTACCCCGTCCATTTTCTTATAGGATTTTAACCTTCAGCGGTAAGTTATTTTTTATGCCATCGGACCACGTGCATTAATGCATCTCCTGAAGAAGTTTGTTCAGTATCTGCTTCTTTTTAGTGGGAAGGTATTGCGGAGAGCCACCATTCAGACTCGTCCAGCTTTGTTTTGTAGCTGCCTTGTAGCTGATATTGCTGGAAGCCAAAAAAGCATGTATTGCCGTTTGTCTTCTCTTTTTCTTTAAAATGGCGTTTTGAAATCGTGTTTCTAATTTATAAAAAAGTTCCAAAGACTCTATCTCCCTGAGTTTCGACGAAACTTTTGATCTGCTTGGTCAGAGTAATAGCTTTACCGTAATTTGGAATAGCTTCTGTTGGTACTGGGACCTCGTCGACATCAGAATCTTCGGAAAATTCTTACATTTCAACTGAATTTTCAATTTCTGACCTGAATCTGGCTTTTCAACATACAAACTTTCATCTAAGTTCAAAAAATCATAAAGGTTTTCATTATCAGACAATTTCAATTAACTCTTATTTTTGAAGATTGTATGGGGCTGTCCAAAACGGACGCAGGAAAGTAAACGCATATTAAAACAAGAAAGATTGATATTCAAATCAAGTTGGGTACTTTATTTTGAAGGTTCATTTATACCATTTATGTATGAAAAATAATATCACTCAAATGTTCACCACGACTGGATTTACAGACGTCCACGCGATGGTCGAAATTTTCAATGACATTTTGCAACATGGTCGTGTTCTATGGCATTTATCTCGGCAATGATGTTGTTTTTGAGTTCTTGGAGGGTGGCTGGTTTGTTGACGTAGACTTTGCTTTTCAAATATCCCCATAAAAAGAAGTCCAAGGGAGTCAAATCGCACGATCTTGGTGGCCATGGCACATTTCCTCTGCGCGAAATCACGCGATCACCGAAGAAGGACTGCAATCGATGGATATTGACGTTGGTTGTGTGGCATGTTGCACCGTCTTGTTGGAAATAAACATCGTCCATATCCATTCCTTCAAGTTGCGGCAAAAAATAGTCCTCTATCATCACGTGATATCCCTCAGAATTGACGGTAACGGCGTCCCCGGCCGCATTTTCGAAAAAGTAAGGTCCGATGATGCCTTTTGACCACAATGCACACCACACAGTCACTTTTTGAGGATACATCGGCTGCTCTTGATACTCACGGAGATTTTCGTTCGCCCAGATGCGGCAGTTTTGCTTGTTTACCGTCCCATTCAAAGTGAAATGTGCTTCGTCGCTGAACATGATTTTTGATGAAAAATCGGCATCAATTTGGCGGTGTTCAAGGAGCCAATCTGAGAACGTTCGGCGCGAAAAATGGTCGGCCCGACGCAGCTCTTGCGTCAATTGGATCTTGTAGGCGTGTACATTCAAATCCTTGTGGAGAATGCGGAGCAAACTGGTTCTCGAAATGCCCAATTCTTGGGATCGACGCATTGTTGATTGTTTCGGATCGTCTCTCACACTCTCCTTCACAACAGCAGACGACCGATGGTTGTTTCGTTTGGGCGGTTGTTGCGACCGAAATGTTCACGAAGCGCGCGAAACGTGTTTTTTATTTTTGCACCATTTTTGTAGTGCTCTTGAATAACTTTAATGCGGTCTTCAATCGAATACGACTCCATAGCGATCAATGGTAAACATTCAACTAACAAAATGACATGACGGTGACAGAAAACAAAGATGGCGTCTATGTCAAATTGACGTTTACTTTCCTGCGTCCCTATTGGGCAACCCTTTATTAGCCTGATTTAAGTGGTCCTCACAATGTTTACTAGCAGTTGTTTGAGTATTTGACTTCGGTAATACGTTTTAAAACGTTTTCTAATCTCTTGGTCAAACCTTATCTAAAAAAAATAATACGCATACATACCTGTCAAAGGAATTATCTGTAAACGTAACACAATTTTTCAATTTTGCTACCATCATCCGATAAAAAGCTTATTTTTTCATTCAAATTGCTGTTCGACGTCCATTTCTTTAGAAGGATGTCTTTATGTTTAATTATATGTGTTTTTCCAATATTAAAACGTTCCTTACACTTAACTTCTCCTTATTGTGAACTTCAACAATTTCAATTTTTTGTTTGAGCATCAGAATTTTGCTATTTGGAGCGATTTCTACAATGAATGTGTTGATCTCTGTGTCTTTTCCGCATAGACGTCACGAATGGAAATTTAATCGAAAGAGTCGTGAATTATTATAAAAAGATTGAAATTACGAAGTGGATTTTGAAAGATATGTTGAACAAAAAGAAGTGTTATCCCACAGAAAATCTTTACAATGCATCTCAGCTTTTCGACTGGCGGCAGTTTTATTTCATTTTTGTTTATCATACAATAATATATTTAACAAAAAATTCATAATTGTTACATTCTATCAGCCACAACCGTCAAATGCGATTCAAGGAAACCTATGCACTAATTCCTAGACTAAATAAAACTATCAGCTATTTTTTATGCTCAAAATTTTATAATGTTATTCCTGGAAAACTTCAAATATATAAAATGTAAAAAACGTTTAAAAATTGAATTAAAACCATGGATGCTAAATCAACCAAGGCTTCAAATCCATAAGTTTGTAGACACTAAAAATCTATATGTTATTTGATAATAAAATGATGCAAATTTATACATTTGACTAGTGTACTTATAGGAAATTTGTTGTTAATATACAGCAGATGCTCGATAATGTAAACTAATTTAATCCAAGTGTGGTTCACATTATCGAAATGTTTACATTAGCGAACGTTATTCATATAATATTTGATTTATTAAAAGAAACGTTCAATACGTACTATTTATAACAAAATAAACAAATATTCTAACAGCGATAAGTATTTTTTTAATTAGAAGAAAAATAATTAACAATTTTTGTCTGCGTAAATTTGCGCTTAGCATTGTCTTCCAATGCCTGCGCCCGTAATTTACGAAGAACTAAAATATCCGTGTATGAAACTTCTTTTCTTTCAGCCCAATCTAAAGCTTGGTTAAAAATTTGTATAGCTTGCGCGTCAGTCACTACACTTCTGACTTCAATGGGATCGTTCTCATCATCCTCACTGTCCAAATCCTCCTCCTTATCAGCATCATTCGTCTGCTTATCTTCCTTCCATAAATTAATACCAGCAGGAGTACAAACAATGTTGGGATTCACTGTTTTCAATAAATCAACAACATCCAATGACACACTAATGACATTATCATTATTGGATCGCAAACGTTCTCTAATAACGCTTAAGGGGACATCGTCTTCTTCATCTTCATTATTGGTACAAAAGAGATTGTTCCAACATTTTTGAATAGTTTGCTGGTTAAGTTCATTCCAGGCCATATGTAAATCTAAAACAGTTTCTCGTAATGTTACTTTTTTTAAAGCCTCAGATAAGTTTTCAGGATTATTTGATAAGACAGACGAAAGTAGAAACTTCCTATAGTATAGTTTGGTGAGTCTTATTATATTCTGGTCCATCGGTTGAATTAACGGTGTTACGTTGGGCGGCATGTACATGACGAAAATTGACCCATCCCTGCTCCTCAGTTGTTGCAGGATGACTTGGTGCATTATTCAATAGTAACAACGCTTTTATTGGAAGCTTCTGTTGTTTTAGGTAACCTTTTACCTACAAATTGAAAACACATCTTCAAATTATGAATAGAGCATTTGTGGTAATTGATTGTCATACCTGAGGGACAAAGCACCTGTGGAACAATTTCAGGAACATACTGCTAGTCATCCAAGCGGTTTTCGAACAGTCATAATCAACAGGGATATTAACATTTTTAAATGAGCGCGGTTTTTTTGCTTTCCCAATTACCAGTGGCTTTATTTTGTGTGAACCATTAGCATTAGTGCAGGCTAGAAACGTTATTCGTTGTTTCTCCGGCTTTCTTCCGGGGGCAGATTTTTCAAATGATGCAGCATAGATTTTCTCTGGTAACATTTTCCAATAAAGGCCACTTTCATCTGCGTTGTAAATTTGTTCCATTCTTAAGTCTAGCTCGGTAATTGTTTTCATCAATTTTTCTTTGAATGGTTGCACTAATTGTGGTTGTGCTGATAATTTTTCACCAGATATAGACAGCAGTCGAATTCCATATCTTGTTTTGAATCGTTGTACCCAGCCATCACTAGCTACGAAATTTTCAGTTTCTTTCAGTTTTTCATTTAACAGTCTCGCTCTCTGTTTAAGTACTTCGCCACTAACTGGGACATGATTTTCCCGTTGTTTTAAAAACCACTTATACAGGGAATTTTCCATTTTAGGTGCCTTCGCATTTTTTTCCCGGACCTCCAAATGTATTGCACGTTCTTTGTAAAATTTGAGTTTTCATACGCTTAATTTTACAGATTGTTGCTTTCGATACTCCATATTTTTTTGCTGAGTCACTCCCGCAACTAGCGCAACTTCGTCTATGATTTTCACTTTCTCACTCAACTTTAAACACTTTCTTTTATAGGATGTGGATGCCATAGTCGTAAAATATATTAACGCGTGCAATGTATTCACTTAAGTTCAAAAATGAAATACATACGTACGTATAAACGTATCCTAAACGATCATACGACTGACCGAGTTTGTCGTATTTTATCGCAGAGGTGAATCCCCTACACTCTACATCATAAATCGGGGACTCCCCGTCGCCCGACATAAATCATCGAGGCTTCAGCATTTTACCGTCGCGCTGTTTCCGTGCGCCGAGAGTCGTTTACGTTATCGAGCGTACACATTGTTTACGTTATCGCGCGTTCCGTTTGATCCCATAGAACGAAGTTTCTGTTTACATTAACGCAAGTTTCCATTATCCCGTGTTTACGTTATCGAGCGTCTGCTGTATTTAACCTTTGGTTGAAACCCAAGCACAAGTGTACACTTTTTTGGGTATATTATGTTTTTTGGACACTGCCGTTATTATTTATACGAAAACTGTGTAATTGGACCAAAAAACATTATTATTTATTTATTTATTTATCACTCTTGTTTCTAGGTGAGCGTCAGTTTCAACAATGAGAATGAAACCCGGGACGTGACGACGCGCGACAACCACCACGAAAACAGCGGCGCTGCGGACAGCAACAAAAAGAAGAAGAAGAAACGCAACAAGCAGCAACGTAGGGACTTGTCGGGCGTGAAACCGGTCGCTATCATCGACCTCGAAAGGTCGCCGTTCAGGGAGCTCACTCCTTCGCCCAGGAACGTAATCGTTCTGACGGATAGCGATAGCGAAGAGGCGAGGGCGCAAAACGGCGGTGGAGTTTGCGAGAAGGGCGTGTGCGATTCGTCTTCACAGCAGGTCGCTAGTCCAGAAAGGCCCGTAGCGTACGCCACCGGTAAGTAAAGCGACGTCGAGTGTGAATGAACAAATAGCTTATCTTTTTCCCGTCAGCGATTTGAGGGCAAGATGATATTTACGTGTCAATTTTACAATAAATCTGTCACTAGTCGTCCGAGGATTCAGAGAACTCGAATGCGACAGTTCGCTTCTCAAGAACACATAAAGGACGTGTTTTTTCCTTCACAAGGTCAGATCAAGGTGATGTTCATTTTGGAGATCCATGGGGAACGCCCGCGTTGACGTTGCGAGCTTAAGACGAGAACCCGTCAATTACGACGGATATCTTACGGCCAGAGAGAAAGTTAGCTACCCATCTGTAAAGTTTCTCTGGGAGGCCATAGGATGAAAGTCTGCATAAGAGGGCAGCGTGTCACAGCTGATCGAACGCTTTCGTGATATCAAGAGCATGAGCCTCACTGGATGAGTTCAGTCCACAATTGCGTGACGTAAGCTATACTATAACTATGTAAAACTGTAATGACTCATCGATGTTCACGTGAACATCACTTAACTACCAGTAGTCGGCTGTTCATAGGCGGGGTATGAATGTTTAACATGGGTGAACTAGATTTGTCACATGCTTAATAAAGAGTGGTTTGAAACATATTGTAAGTCAAAAATTTGGGAATTACCTTTATTCATCGTCGCTTCCACTTACATCTGACAGTAATAAACTGTCGCTGTCGCTTTCCTCGTTGAAATTGACTATAACTGGCTCTATGATGGTGTCGATGTGGTGGTCAAGCTGCCACATTTTTGTTTCTTCCTTCACAACATGACGGATAGCATTCTGCCAAGCTTCGGGCGTTACTAGCTGTATGGAAGTCTCAATTAAAACCTTAACGTCTGGTAATTTGAAGGTTGTGTTATGGCGCGCAATATAACGCTTCACTTGAGCCCAGATGAGCTCTATTGGGTTCAGTTCACAGTGGTAGGCCGGTAACTGCAGCACAGTGACACCACATTGACGGGCCATCTCATCAGTCACGTAACTAATGTTCGCAGGTTTGTGCTGTTTAATTTTTTCATACAATTCCGCTTTCACACATGAATCGTCAAACGGGATTCCTTTTTCGCGCAACCATTGCTGCATGTCACTTTTTCGAGATCCCATAGTCGGTACACGTTCGGCTCGACGACTATGGTAGGAAGCATTATCCATGACGATCACAGAGTTGGGCTCAACTCGCTGAAGCACCCCTTGAAACCAGCTCTCGAAGCAGCTGGCATTCATTTCGTCATGGTAATCACCTCCTTTCTTAGAGACGAAAATCAAGTCACACTCTTCTAAAAAGCTACTATCGCTACCAATATGAGTTACGATCAATCTTTGACCTTTCCCTGACGGTCCACGAAGACCTGTTGACAAACCTTCAATGCTTGCTTATCGGTTACTCACTACGTTTTTGTCTATCCAGGTTTTTTTAACTGTGTGACCTGCATTTACCCATGTCTCGTCCAAATAATAGATTTTTCTGCTTTGTCGCCTATATTCAATCATTTCGCGTAGGTATTTTCGACGCCAGGCGACTGTTTCAGGTCTCTCTATCAATACTGACTTCCGATTACGCGTTTCGTAACGAAAATTAATTTCGTGCAGGGATTTCCTCATTACCTCGACGCTCATTTGCGGTATAATTTCATTTTCCTTGATCGCTGCATGTACAGCCTTGAGGGTTGGTATCTCATTCCTAAAGAAAAATGAATGTACGGTTCGCCTTAACGCCATTTTGCTATCGTCATCCAATTTAACGGCCTTTCGTCCCTTCAAATTTAAACTTTGGATCAGTAGTAGCTCCACCCTGCGAATGGTCCACTCTGGAACGCCTGTCATACTTTCACAACGCGCGAGTGCATCTCCCTGCGACATAGTTCTGTTGAGATAATTGAACACGTTGAGCACGATTTCTTTTGCGTCCCTCTTCAGTGCTTTACGAAGCCGTCTACTTGTTCCCTGGCTTTCAGTACTTCCACTTGTGCCATTTGTACTCTCCATGGTTAAGTATAACCAAAACAGTAACCACAGAAACCACAACAATAACAATCACACAACAATTCCTATAAAAACACACAATATGCGATCGCTCAACGAAACACGTTCCAATGCGTTGCCGACGCCTATGAGTCTGCCGGTCGAGGCGCGTCTTTGATTTCATTGGTTCTACCGGCGGAGAACAGTCAGCCATTATTTCCATCTCTGTCTGTGCTGTTGACCACTGCAAAGCCACAGAAACGACATATGTCGTACGCTATACGGCTGTACTGAAAGGAAGCCGGGATCGAGCTCTGATCACGTGTTGATCACGCGTATGAGTCATTACAGTTTTAAATAGTTGTAGTATAGGAGGTCCCCTGTGGATCGCTGGTGCCGGAAACCATACTGTCTGTCACTAGTCAAGCCAAGGTAGTCCAGAATAAACTCCCGATTTATGCACTTCTCCATCACCTTACTTATAACAGAAAGCAGAGCTATAGGCATATAGTTGTAAGGGTCGGTTTTTGATCCCTTTTTTTTTGGGAGGAGTTTTACATGAGCAAATTTCCAGTCTTCTGGGAAAGTGTCGGATTCGTAAGATATCTGGAAGTGACGCGAAAGAACTGGAGCAAGCTTCGATGCACATCTCTTCAATACAACGGCAGGAATCAAGTCCGGACCAGAAGCTCTGTTGATGTCGAGCGACAAGAGCACATGTCTTACGGGCTTATGCCTGAATGCTATTTCCCGCAGGGTGTGGGACGTTGGAGGGACGTCCATGGTGGTGGAAGGCTGCTCTGTGAGAAGTGCCTTTTAATTGTCCAGCGTGTAGAAAGACCGACTGTACCTAACTTTTATGTCGTGCTGGTCTTTGGCATTGCGGACCGCTTCGTTATATTTGTTTCCGGACTCAACGTCGGCTTGCCTGTTCTCTACAGTGGCGTTTTTTAAGAAGGTTCTGTGCACGTTGATCTTCTGCTGACGCGCAGTGTTGCACGATTTGTTCAACCATTTGTTGATGTTCAAATTTACTACAATAGTCTTACTTGAATTTAGGATTAGCCGATTTCTTTGGCACCAGGATGAACATTTCTCTAATATTCTTTGAATTTTGGTATTTAGGTGATTCGTATTTTTTGCAGATATAGTTGTGTCATCTGCAAACATATACTAAGTGACATATAAATCCGAACACCCAGTTTAAATGGTTTTATTTCAATAAAATTTTGTATAAGTACTTAATGAAGCATAATAAGTAAATGATAAAAATTTCAAAATGATTGCACCGCTTTAAAGCCCTTTGACCTTTAATAATGTGTGGATGCACCCTGATGTGCTACGCATTCTCCAACGCGCCTAGGCATGCTTCTGATCAGGTGGTCAATGTCCTCCTGTGGTATCTCATTCCAGGCAACCACCAACTCCTCTCGAAGTGCTTCTAGAGTCTGAGGAGGACGTTGCAATTATCTTGTTGGAAAGTTGGATCTGCCAGGGTGCCAAGATAGGGTAAAAGATGGGGTTCTAGAACTTCGTGGATATAACGCTGCGCGTTCATGTTACCTCTGATGAAGATTAAAGGTGACCTGGAACCATAAGCTATAGCACCCCAAACCATAACTCCAACAGTGTGATGAACATGTCTTTCAACAAAAAACTGTGGATTCCTCCTTTCACCACGTCGCCTTCTAACCCTGGCACGACCATCGTGCATGCCTAAACAAAATCGAGACTCGTCACTAAAGACAATACTGTTCCATTCCTGATCCCAGAGTGACCGTTGTCTGCACCACTCAAGGCGATTACGTCGGTGTTCTCGAGTTAAAGGGAGGACCCAGTGTGGCCGGTATGAAAACAAGCCAAAACTTCTCACTAAGTTGACGAAATCGTACAGGTCTCCGTACTCTAGGCATGGTAACCGATCGTAAAGGATGTCGAGAACCAAAATCCGCCAACGTTGATTCTTTACTGCGGCTGAAATATTCATTTTTAGAGCGTTAGTGAATTAAAAAAAGCAGTATAAAAACCGGAATGTCCAACTGATAAGGCTGAACATTTTTTCACTTGTTATTTACAGTTTTATTAAAATAAAACCATTTAAACAGGATGTTCGGATTTATATGTCACTTAGTATATCTTGTTCACTGCCAGTGAAGCTGTGTTTTCAAAATTATAAGTCTTGCAAAATAAAGATATGAGAATAATATTGAATAAAAATAAGTACACGAAAATAAAATCTATATTACAAGAATTGCAGTGGTTGAATATAAAAGATTTCATATCATATTTAGTTCTTATTTTTATACTTAAAATAAAAAATCATCTTTTGCCACAACATTTTGAACACTACATAGAATTGAATAATCATTACCACAATTATTATACAATAAACTAAATAATGATTTGTCTACTTGTAATTTAAAGATATTTAAAATAAAATTAAAGGAATATTTACATGGACAGTGAAAATTCTTAGAGATGCAATTTTTTTTTCTAAATATCTGCATGTTATGCAATTGTTTAGTTTTTTAGAAGAATGTAATTGTAGCAATCATGCTAAATAAATCTTGAACAAACTTGGTATAGGATTAACGCGGGCTACTTCTAGTTCTGGGTTTTTGAGTACACCTCGATTTGTTAACGCTGTCAGCGATTTGGGAGGCATTTTGACTTTTAAATACAAGTGACTGATCACTTTTCTTATTTCGTCAGAAACTGCTTTATTACCACGAGCCATTTTTAATCGTTAACAACAAAACCAATGTATTGAAAGATGATTTAAACGTCAAAATCAGCTTCGTAAAACGTTATCATTTGTTTTACAAAGCAAAGCTTTATTTTATCGAAGTGAATAAACAGCCCATTCAACTTAAGTTGTCTCCATCATGTATTTTGCTATAGACAAATCATTTTGCAAAGAAGACCATTTCGGAATAAAATAGCCGTCGGTTTTGTTATCTTTCCATAAACATTTGAAGAAACCAAAAATATATTTGAAATAAAATTTGTATTAGTCCTCAAATAAATTCTGAAATATCTTGTTTTGCCCAGTTGGGCCAACTTCTCTGACCCATGGCACCTATAAGTTGAGCAGCAGTGGCCCTAATACAGATCCCTGAGGGATACCCTGCTCAACACGATATACAGTAATGGACAAAAGTATATAGACAAATTACCTAACTACCTTTAGAAAACGAATTCATACTTCATTGCTCCAAAAACAAATACGTTATTAGTAAAAAAGCTAAACTCCTTGTTTTTACATTATCTGCAATGAACACAATACAAGTCTGAGTATAAGCACTTATTTATGAGGGATAAAAGTATGTAGACAAATTCTTTTCAACATAAATTTAGTACAGTTTCGTGTCAGAAGAGGATCAGTTTGTATTCATCAAGTATTGTGGAATAAGTTGAGTGATTTTAAGACCATGCAGCGTGGTCCAGAAATTTCTTTCGATGTGAAAACTAAGATCATTGAGTTATACAAAGATGGTCAACGTCAAGTCGACATTGCAAAAAAGTGAATCCCAACATGGTTTGTACTCCTGCTGATATTAATTTATGGAACCAAGATAAGCAGACGAATGATGCTGATAAGGAGGAGGATATGGACAGTGAGGATGATGAGAACGATACCATTGAAGTCAGAAGTGTAGAGACTGACGCGCAAGCTATACAAGTTTTTAACCAAGCTTTAGATTGGGGTGAAAGAAAAGAAGTTTCATACACGGATATTTTAGTTCTTCGTAAATTACGGGCGCAGGCACTGGAAGACAATGCTAAGCGCAAATTTACGCAGATAAAAATTGTTTATTATTTTTCTTCTAATTAAAAAAACACTTATCGCTGTTAGAATATTTGTTTATTTTGTTATAAATAGTATGTATTGAACGTTTCTTTTAATAAATCAAATATTATATAAATCACGTTCGCTAATGTAAACATTTCGATAATGTGAACCACACTTGGATTAAATTAGTTTACATTATCGAGCGTCTGCTGTAATTGTTTTGCTTTGTCTATATATTTTTGTCTTTCATAGTTCCAGTTTTTTTCAATTAATTTTGTATTGAAGGGACTGGAATGAATTTATTAATGTATAATATAAGTAATATACAAGCAAATGTACAGAATACTCAGCCTCCAAAAAGAACTTTGAACTCATTTATTTTGGATAAAGTCGAACAATATGAAGTATACACCACTGTTATGTCCTTAAAAAATCGGAAAAGTCCTGGGTTCGATGGTATTAAAAGCGAGCATTTGAAAATTATAGCAGAGGACATAACGGAACCACTCACTTACCTAATCAACAAATGCTTTGAATCTGGCATATATCCCTCAATTTTAAAAAAAGGTAATATAATACCGATACATAAATCAGGAACAAAAACAGATGTTAACAACTATAGACCAATATCAATAATATCCAGTGTAGCAAAGGTTTTTGAAAAAGTTTTATCTACTAGAATGATTCGATACCTCACAAAATTCAAAATTTTAAGTGAAAATCAATATGGATTTACAGAAGGGAAGGCTACATCGGAAGCAATAACTAAAATTGTAAATCAAATATATCAAAATATTGATAACAGAATCCCTTCAATCTGCATTTTTGTTGATTTAAAGAAAGCTTTCGACACAGTTAATCACAAATTATTATTAGAAGCATTGGAGAGAATTGGTTTCAGAGGAAACGCGTACTCACTGATCGAAAGTTATTTGTCAAATCGCCCACAATCTGTGCAGATATCAGGATCATTTAGTAAAGAAATGTATATTAAGTGTGGTGTCCCACAAGGAACTGTCTTAGGTCCGCTGTTATTCAATATATATTTAAATGATATTTTCCAAATTAATTGTGTTGGCAAAATAACTAGTTTTGCAGATGATACTGCAATATTATATGAAGGCACTGACTGGTCTGATCTGAAAAATGTAATTGAAAATGATTTTATCAAAATTATTCGGTGGTTTAACAGTAGAAAATTAAGCATTAACTACTCTAAAACACATTTTTTACCATTTGGATCTTATGCTAGACATCTGCCAAATTACACAAATTTCTCCTTCAATATTAATGATCAAAAAATGCAAATTAATAGAGTCCCCAACATAAAATACCTTGGAGGGGTCTTGGATCCTCACTTACGATGGGACATCCATGTCAATTATATTTTAAAGAAAGTTAGATTTGTATCCTACAAAATTAAATACCTTGGGAATATATTGACAGAAAAATATCTTCAAACATTATACCATGCACTGATTGAGCCTCATCTCACATATGGTATATTAGCATGGGGAGCTGCATGTTCCTCACATATCTATAATTTAGATGTTTTTCAAAAAAGTATTCTAAAAATGATATTTAAAAAACCGAAACTTTATCCCACTGAAAAATTATATGCAGATGTTCGAATGTATGATATAAGACAGCTTTATTTCTTACACATTATCACTCACTACCATAAATTTGTAAACACCGACCAAAAAATTAAACATAATCATTATACCAGATACAAAATTCGTGGCACAGTAGTTCCTCAACCGCATAAATCTATAATGCAGCGATCATATCTCTATTTAGCGCCTAAATTTTATGAAATTATACCTAAAGACTTAAAAGATTTACGTTTCGGAAATTGTTTCAAAAGAAATTTAAAAAAGTGGCTACATTCTATATCTAGGACTGAAATTCATAAACTCATAAATACGAACATCAACTAAATACATAATCTACTGTAGCTAATTTTTGTCCTTTTTTGTCATTTGCATTCTACAGTTTCAACTTAAATTATTGGTCCATGTACAGGCGATGCCTTCTATTGGGCCTGTTTTGATTTTATATTTATTTACTCATGTTGTTTGTTATCTTTGTACATTGAGTAAATAAATATTATTATTATTATTATTATAATAGAGTGTTATGCTATAACGAATTATGTATACAGGTTGGTGTATTAATAAAACAAGTTAAAAAAGAAATACAGCACAATATTAATTTGTCTATATACTTCTGTCCATTACTGTACATCGGATACTTTACTTCCAAGGTTCAGAAAGAAACTTCTTATACACATACAGGGTGGCCCATAAGTCCTTTGAGCTGGAAAAAAAGGAATAAAACCAAGCTAGTTACATTATGAAGAATTATTATATTTTGTTATCATCTTTATTGAATGGGAATTATATTTTAAAAATCACATCGTCTAAATGAAATCCATTACGATCACGGCACTCATATAAGCGACGTCTAAAATTGTCGATGACTGCGCGGCAAGTCAACACTGTAATGCTTGCCATTTCTTTTCGGATATTTTCTTTCAGGACATCAACTGATCGCGAAGTGGTGTCGTACACTTTACTCTTGAGGTAGCCCCATAAAAAGAAGTCCATTGGGGTCAAATCTGGACTACGTGGTGGCCAGGAAATGTCTCCTCTTCGAGAAATTACTTTGCTGGGAAAAAGTTGACAGACGACGGGCAAGTGTTGGAGGTGTGGGCAGTTGCTCCGTCCTGTTGAAAGCAGGTCTGCGTATTATAGCCTGGAAAATGCTGCAACGCTGGTGTCAAAAACTTTTCTATCATTGCTACCTACCGCTCCGAAGTAACAGTTAATGCGCGACCTCTGTCGTCCTCAAAAAAATAAGGGCCTACGATGCCATGCGCTGACATAGCAGCCCAAACTGTAACTTTAGGGCTGTGTAAGGGCTTCTGATGCTTACGCCTTGGATTTTCGGGGCTCCAATAATGGCAATTTTGTTTATTTACATGCCCATTTAAATGGAAGTGAGCCTCGTCCGAGAACAACACATTATTGAGCGAAGAAAATCGATTCAACATTTCATTCGCAAAGTTTAGTCTCTGAATAGCGTCATTATCTTTTAATTCCTGCACTAACTGAATTTTGTAAGCGTGCAGATGTAAATCTTTCCTTAAAATCCGCTGTAAAGATGTTCTGGGTACGTTTAGTGCACTGGAACGCTTACGAGTAGACTGGGTAGGATTTTGACGAACAGACTGTGCCACAATGTTGATGTTTTCTTCAATACGAGTTGTCCTTGGTCGACCCCACCGCTGTTTATCTAATGTCGAACCAGTCTCTTCGAACTTAGCAACCCAGTTCTTAATCGTTTGAGCTGTTGGACACTTTGTAAAATTGTGTAAATTGTGGTATTGTCGATATTTACGCCGCGCAATGGTTGCCGAATCATTATTTTGATAAAACGCGCGCACACAAAAAGCACGATCCGCTCCAGTGAAACACTCCATGGCGACTGAATTCCCAGACACTGAAGATACTGCCCCCACCTCGCCCGCGCCGCTCACGCTCACCCGTTAAATTTTATTCAAATTTGAAATTTCAAAGGACTTATGGACCACCCTGTATGCCGATGACTTCACGCAATAACCCACTCGAGTAAATCTGTTCTGAATCTCGGTTTTGACATTATTTTTTTTGTCTAAATAGGTCCGAAAACACCTCCCGAACCGTCAGTGAAATTCAGCCTGAGCGCCAAACAACCCTCGTTACGTCAAATCAGCAACCCGCTGCGCGAAGCTGACGACATGGAGAACAACGACGACGAGGACATCCACGCCGAGCTAGAGACTCGATTAACCGACGGGATAGGCCACAAAGGGCCGAACACCCCGCCCGAGCCGCCGAATTCGCCCCCGTCGTCGCCTGACGCGTACGACCCCTTCGAGCCGACAAAGTCCAGGTCGGCCACTCCGGAGCCCAGTCAGAATCAAGCTGGAGCTGGGAACGTCGAAGAGAGTATCGAGAATAACATCGAGAGGTAGGTGATTTTTTCTATCTAGGTCATAAAAAAGTTACCTCTTAAGATGATAGCAGGATACAAACTTGCGCGGGTGCCTAACAAATGTCGTACGGCGACCAGAAAATCAAAATCGCCAAAACTTCATTTTTTGACGTTTCAGAGGTTCCTGATCATTTTCGGAATTTTTTTGTAGGATTTGAAACTTGGGGGTTGGGGCCTTGTAAGGGGTACGCGATTGTTAATGATGCGTCTTTACTATTAGTCAAAGACGTTCTAAAGGGTTGTCCAATAGGGACGCAGGAAAGTAAACGTCAATTTGACATAGACGCCATCTTTGTTTTCTGTCACCGACATGTCATTTTGTTAGTTGAATGTTTACCATTGACCGCTATGGAGTCGTATTCGATTGAAGGCCGCATTAAAGTTATTCAAGAGCACTACAAAAATGGTGCAAAAATAAAAAATACGTTTGGCGCGCGTCGTGAACATTTCGGTCGCAACAACCGCCCAAACGAAACAACCGTCGGTCGTCTGGTGCGCAAATTCGAGGCAACAGGTTCTGTGGCAGATCTGCCAGGCTCTGTCCGGTCAAGGAGCGTTCGCACACCGGAAAATATTGCTGTTGTGAAGGAGAGTGTGAGAGACGATCCGAAACGATCAACAGCGCGTCGATCCCAAGAATTGGGCATTTCGAGAACCAGTTTGCTCCGCATTCTCCACAAGGATTTGAATGTGCACGCCTACAAGATCCAATTGACGCAAGAGCTGCGTCGGGCCGACCATTTTTCTCAGCTTGGCTCCTTGAACACCGCCAAATTGACGCCAATTTTTCATCAAAAATCATGTTCAGCGACGAAGCGCATTTCACTTTGAATGGGACGGTAAACAAGCAAAACTGCCGCATCTGGGCGAACGAAAATCCCCGTGAGTATCAAGAGCAGCCGATGCATCCTCAAAAAGTGACTGTGTGGTGTGCATTGTGGCATCATCGGACTTTACTTTTTCGAAAATGCGGCCGGGAACGCCGTTACCGTCCATTCTGAGCGATATCACGTGATGATAGAGGACTATTTTTTGCCGCAACTTGAAGGAATGGATATGGACGATGTTTATTTCCAACAAGACGGTGCAACATGCCACACAACCAACGTCAATATCCATCGATTGCAGTCCTTCTTCGGTGATCGCGTGATTTCGCGCAGAGGAAATGTGCCATGGCCACCAAGATCGTGCGATTTGACTCCCTTGGACTTCTTTTTATGGGGATGTTTGAAAAGCAAAGTCTACGTCGACAAACCAGCCACCCTCCAAGAACTCAAAAACAACATCATTGCCGAGATAAACGCCATAGAACCGACCATGTTGCAAAATGTCATTGAAAATTTCGACCATCGCGTGGACGTCTGTAAATCCAGTCGTGGTGAACATTTGAGCGATACTATTTTTCATACATAAATGGTATAAATGAACCTTCAAAATAAAGTACCCAACTTGATTTGAATATCAATCTTTCTTGTTTTAATATGCGTTTACTTTCCTGCGTCCCTTCATGATTTTTTGAACTTAGATGAAAGTTTGTATGTTGAAAAGCCAGATTCAGGTCAGTAATTGAAAATTCAGTTGAAATGTAAGAATTTTCCGAAGATTCTGATGACGACGAGGTTCCAGAACCAACAGAAGCTATTCCAAATTACGGTAAAGCTATTACTCTGACCAAGCAGATCAAAAGTTTTGTCGAAAATCAGCGAGATAGAGTCTTTGGAGCTTTTTTATAAGTTAGAAACACGATTTCAAAATGCCATTTTAAAGAAAAAGAGGATACAAACGGCAATACATGCTTTTTTTGGCTTCCCCATATGATTAAGAAGCTTCTGATTCCGGTATCAACGGGATGACTTGAATGTTTTTATATCTACACATACACCTACAGTGACATCTCATTAGGACGGACCCCAACGGCACCGACTGAATGTGTTCGATCAAGAGGGCTGTCCGTATAAAAGAACTACAAAAAAATCGTATTTTTAATGAAAACTGAATACAGCAGACGCTCGATAATGTAAACTAATGTAATCCAAGTGTGGTTCACATTATCGAAATGTTTACATTAGCGAACGTGATTTATATAATATTTGATTTATTAAAAGAAACGTTTAATACATACTATTTATAACAAAATAAACAAATATTCTAACAGCGATAAGTATTTTTTCAATTAGAAGAAAAATAATTAACAATTTTTGTCTGCGTAAATTTGCGCTTCGCATTGTCTTCCAATGCCTGCGCCCGTAATTTACGAAGAACTAAAATATCCGTGTATGAAACTTCTTTTCTTTCAGCCCAATCTAAAGCTTGGTTAAAAACTTGTATAGCTTGCGCGTCAGTCACTACACTTCTGACTTCAATGGGATCGTTCTCATCATCCTCACTGTCCATATCCTCCTCCTTATCAGCATCATTCGTCTGCTTATCTTCGTTCCATAAATTAATATCAACAGGAGTACAAACAACGTTGGGATTCACTGTTTTCAATAAATCAACAACATCCAATGACACACTAATAACATTATCATTATTGGATCGCAAACGTTCTCTAATTACGCTTAAGGGGACATCGTCTTCTTCATCATCTTCATTATTGGTACAAAAGAGATTGTTCCAACATTTTTGAATATTTTGCTGCTTAAGTTCATTCCAGGCCATATGTAAATCTAAAACAGCTTCACGTAATGTTACTTTTTTAAAGCCTCAGATAAGTTTTCAGGATTCGTTGATAAGACAGACGAAAGTAGAAACTTCCTATAGTATAGTTTGGTGAGTCTTATTATATTCTGGTCCATCGGTTGAATTAACGGTGTTACGTACATGACGAAAATTGACCCATCCCTGCTCCTCAGTTGTTGCTCGGGAGGATGACTTGGTGCATTATCCAATAGTAACAACGCTTTTATTGGAAGCTTCTGTTGTTTTAGGAAACCTTTTACCTACAAATTGAAAACACATCTTCAAATTATGAATAGAGCATTTGTGACAATTGATTGTCATACCTGAGGGACAAAGCACCTGTGGAACCATTTCAGGAATATACTGCTAGTCATCCAAGCGGTTTTTGCACAGTCATAATCAACAGGGATATTAACATTTTTAAATGAGCGCGGATTTTTTGCTTTCCCAATTACCAGTGGGTTTATTTTGTGTGAACCATTAGCATTAGTGCAGGCTAGAAACGTTATTCGTTGTTTCTCCGGCTTTCTTCCCGGGGCAGATTTTTCAAATGATGCAGCATAGGTTTTCTCTGGTAACATTTTCCAATAAAGGCCACTTTCATCTGCGTTGTAAATTTGTTCCATTCTTAAATCTAGCTCGGTAATTGTTTTCATCAATTTTTCTTTGAATGGTTGCACTAATTGTGATTGTGCTGATAATTTTATTAACGAAGTTTGTGTTTACATTAGCGCAAGTTTTCATTATCCCGTGTTTACGTTATCGAGCGTCTGCTGTATTTTCAATTCTTAGGCACATATGAAGTCATATGACACGCTATCCTATAATAACCCATCTCGTTTTGCATAAAATTTGAAGATTCGATGTTTGCACTAAGCACGGCGGATTGAAATAAATTATGATTATAAAAATTTGCAAATTTTAAAGTTGTATATTTTCTTACAATACAACTTAATAAGCTAAATCATAATATAGTCGTTCCGTTGAAGTTGTTCAAATTCGTACATTAATTGCACGACGCAGGTCGCCAAATCGTTATACTCATACTAGTCATAGTAATCAAAGCAACGAGTACAAGAAATGATTAATTTTTAAAAGAGTAACGATTAGTAACGATTACTCGAAAGTAACGAGTATCAACAACTCTACTCCCTACCTCTCGCGCGCACTGTTGCCACATACTTCACTTATTCCGAATAAAGACATTGTGCACGTTGTAGTGCCTCTATCTGACCCACCTTTTCGTTACATCCTGTGTTTATTATTTCAGGTTAATGGACATGGACATCACCGTGAATTCCAACCCTCCGCAAGAGGCAATTACAACCTCCCTAACACCCCCATTGCTCGACGTCCAACCGGCCGATTCTCAAAGCAGCGTCCAAGCCACACCCGAATCTTCAACAGCCGGTGGTGCCGGCGGAAAATCCCCTGAACAACGTCCGCCTGCCTCCAGCGCCGAAGGTAGGTCGTATTGTAGATCATGTTCTGCGTATTGTGATATTGCAGTAGCTTTATAGAAAAAATATTACAATAACAAAATTGATGGAAGTAAATACAGGGTTATCCAAATTAAGTGTCCACCATTAGTAACTTTGTTATTAGTGAAAATACAAAGTTGTTTGAATTAGCAAACTAGTAGCATTTTTAACGCTGGTAAAAATGAGAAATAAAAAAAAACAATTGAGAGTCGTTATTTTGATTTTTTTCAGTAAAATAACATTTTTTTAAATGGAAACCCCTGTATATTATATTTTTTTCTGTTAAAGTATCAAATTTTAAACAAAAAAGTTCATAATGACTTTTCCGCTAAAGTCAAAAATAAAGTCAAAATAACGATAAATATTTTTAATTATTTGCAGTATTATAATATTAAGACAGCTATGAAAACAACATGGCGTTCGCGATTTGACAGCATTAAGATAAGCGACAAATTGTTAAACTGGACATACTCGCAACTAGAAGGCTTTGGAAAACAATGATAAAATCAAATAATGTCAAACATTAGTGTAAATACTTGTTTATAAGCTTTATTGTGTCATTAATTTAAAGAAAAATGTTCTCCCATGAAGAAAAGTGTGATATGTTAGAATGCTATTTAGTGTGCAGAAAATCCTCCTTGAGAGCAAGAGAATACTACAGTGAATTATATCCCGCTCGCATTCAACCGTATGAACGATATTTTCTGAGACTTTATCGAAAATTTAGGGGCAACGAAAATGTTTTTGCTAAAACAAGGGCAAAAAAAGAATTCATAATAAGCGAGGCCACGGAAATTGCAGTTATTGGATATTTTGAAGCTTATCGTGAGAATTCAATAGCAGATATCCTCAAGGACTCTAATTTCAGTTATGGTACTGTTCAAAGGATTTTAAAAAAATACAAATTTATTCCGTATAAGTACCGACGAGTTCAAACGCTTTTGGCAGGGGATCCAGAGAGAAGACTTGTTTTTTGCCATTGGTATCTTAGCTTCTGTCGCCAAAATGTAAATAACTTTCGTTACCTTTTATGGACAGATGAATAAAATTTTTCAAATTCTGGAATGTTTAATAGAAAAAACCACCATTATTAGTCAAGAGAAAATCTTTTGTTAGTACATCCAAGAGGCCCACAAGTCCGTTTCAGATTCAACGTTTGGTGCGGTATAATTGGTTCAAAAATTGTTGGCCCGTTCTTTTATGAGGGAACCCTAACTGGTGAAAGATATGTGGAATTTATGTCAGAAATTCTGACTAATTTCTTAGACGAATTGGATCTTATAAGTAGACATCATCTGCATTTTCAGCAAGATGGCGCACCTGCCCACAACTCCAGAGGTACTTATCATTTTCTAAGTACTACTTTTAATGATCAGTGGATAGGAACAAATTGCCCAATACAGTGGCCTCCCAGATCACCAGATCTAAACCCACTTGATTACTTCTTGTGGGGTTACTTAAAGAACCAAATTTACAAGCGAAGGTACGATAACCTTGACGCGTTAAAGACTGCAGTTAGGGAAAAGATAACCCAGATAGATGGTAGGACCATACTTAAGACAGTTCGAGCAGTTGAAAAACGTGTTTTCGAGCATCTTCTTTAAAAAAAATTGTTATTGTATTTTGTAAGATTATAAGTTGATGTTGAAAATAAAGTTTGTCGATACAATTTAATTGTTTCAGATTGGAGGCCATAACTTCATCAATTTGTAACCTAGGAGAAAAGTTATTGAAAGCTTTTTTGTTTAAAATTTGATGCTTTAACAGAAAAAAATATAATATACAGGGGTTTCCATTTAAAAAAATGTTATTTTTACTGAAAAAAATCAAAATAACGACTCTCAATTGTTTTTTTTTATTTCTCATTTTTACCAGCGTTAAAAATGCTACTAGTTTGCTAATTCAAACAACTTTGTATTTTCACTAATAACAAAGTTACTAATGGTGGACACTTAATTTGGATAACCCTGTATAATAGCAAATAAATGTGTAAAACATTGTGTCTCGTATTAGAAGAAATACATTATCTAAAATGAAGTTCGACGATGGGGTAATGACAAATGAAAAAATAATAGCAGATCGAATGAATACCTATTTCTTAGAAAGTGTAAGCAACGTTGTAAGATCAATTACATTGAAAAACACAGGATTTGTGACATGACAATTTTTGGGTGTTTCTTATGTATTTTGAGACCTTTAAATCAAATCTAAAAACAGAATTTTATGAATTACAATACGTAACATCTCATATTGCTGCATTTCTCTGCGTTTATGCGATGACGCACATATACAGGGTGACTTTGAAGTTGAGTCATTAATTTTCAGATAATGATTGTAGAAGGAATATAAACCAAAATATGTGTGTAAAAATAAAAAAAAATTCAAAAAAAATTTTTTACCTTGTTTTATAAAGTATCCTCCCGACAAGTATTTCAGTGCGGACCTGTATTTGATCGTGAGGTCCCCTGTGAGGTCTTAAGTCACCTGATTCACGAGCCCGTTGTACTACATTAACTAAGGCACGAGGGGTTGGTTGCACTCGATTGGGAAACCGATCCGCATAAACATGTGCCATTTTTTATTTCGTTTGAGCCACGCAACAGATACAACTATTCACTGACACTGACTGTATACAAATGAATGAAATAATTCGTTCCAAATTCTTTCGCTTTTTTGTTTCCGATGCGATGAACCGATACGACGGATTATATCCGTTGTCGCCAAACACGAGCACATTGAGACAGGGCGGTACTCAAACTTCCAAAGGGCTATAACTTTGTTACTTTAATTTTACCAGAAAAATGGTAAAGGAAAAAAACATTTCTTTTGATCAGATCTACTCACTGTTAAAATAAATGACTCAACTTCGATGTCACCCTGTATAATGTTAAGACCTGTCTATTCCTGTTTATTATATGCGAGCTCTATGTTTAGAGAGCATATTGCGTTTATTAGTAGACTAATAGCAGCCGAGTCAATTACGTTTTCTCTGTTGAAGAGTACTGAGATGTTCTTTGTACTGTTAATTTTTGTTAAAACGGTGTTTTGTTTTTCGTTTATTGTGATCGAGACTAGCTTTATGGACAATGCCTAGAAATTGTGTCAATAGTGCGAACAGTTTTTATTATGTGAGCGGGGAGCCAAAAACCTACTTTTACACCACTTGTGTTGAAAGCATACGAAATTTATTTTGGAATTAAAGTTGGCGACCAAGATAAACTAAGGGTCCCTCATATATGTTGTGAGACTTGTGTAACGTTGTTAACAGGTTCAAGAAGATTATATCAAAATTAAAATCAATTTAAAATAAGAGTGAGATCTTGTCTAAAAGGGTGCTTAATGAATGTTTTGATATTATTGGAGCAAGAATATTAATCCTGATAAATTACTGTTTAAAATATGGCGAGTTTCTAACAAAACTAAACTATTCTGCGATAACTCCTGTTTCAGAAGTTAAGAATTCTGAGTTGTACACCAATATGCGGCCAATAAATGTTCTGTCAGTTGTTGAAAATTGTCTTTGAAGAAATTATTTTCAAACCACCATCGAATTTATCCAGGGAAATATAATTTTAACCAAATTTCAAGTTGGATTCAGGAAGAAACACTCAACTGCCAACACAAATGGCTTTAGACGACTGGAGGAGATGTATGGACAATAGGAAACAGTGACAGTGTTTTTGAACTTCAAAAGGTCGTTTGAAACTATTAACAGATATAAATTACTTACAAAATTGAGGAGCACTATGATTATTTCAAAAATTACTTTTATAGGGCTTCCCATAGTCTTATCACATTAAAAAAATAGTTTATAATAAAGGGTTGTCTAATAGGGACGCAGGAAAGTAAACGTCAATTTGACATAGACGCCATCTTTGTTTTCTGTCACCGACATGTCATTTTGTTAGTTGAATGTTTACCATTGATCGCTATGGAGTCGTATTCGATTGAAGACCGCATTAAAGTTATTCAAGAGCACTACAAAAATGGTGCAAAAATAAAAAACACGTTTCGCGCGCTTCGTGAACATTTCGGTCGCAACAACCGCCCAAACGAAACAACCATCGGTCGTCTGGTGCGTAAATTCGAAGCAACAGGTTCTGGAGCGTTCGCACACATGAAAATATTGCTGTTGTGAAGGAGAGTGTGAGAGACGATCCGAAACAATCAACAACGCGTCGATCCCAAGAATTGGGCATTTCGAGAACCAGTTTGCTCCGCATTCTCCACAAGGATTTGGATGTACACGCCTACAAGATCCAATTGACGCAAGAGCTGCGTCGGGCCGACCATTTTTCGCGCCGAACGTTCTCAGATTGGCTCCTTGAACACCGCCAAATTGATGCCAATTTTCCATCAAAAATCATGTTCAGCGACGAAGCGCATTTCACTTTGAATGGGACGGTAAACAAGCAAAACTGCCGCATCTGGGCGAACGAAAATCCCCGTGAGTATCAAGAGCAGCCGATGCATCCTCAAAAAGTGACTGTGTGGTGTACATTGTGGTCAAAAGGCATCATCGGACCTTACTTTTTCGAAAATGCGGCCGGGGACGCCGTTACCGTCAATTCTGAGCGATATCACGTGATAATAGAGGACTATTTTTTGCCGCAACTTGAAGGAATGCAATACAAGTCCTGCAAAATAAAGCTATTAGAATAATATTAAATGAAAACAAGTACACGAAAATGAAATCTATGTTACAAGAATTGCAGTGGTTGATTATAAATTGAAGTAAAGTAAAAAACACCGATAGTTCCATATAATTGCTTGCAATGCACCGAATTGTTTCGATACGCGCATAGCAATAAATCATAATTTGACTATGCTATAAACAAAGCGACTGGAACCGCTAGGCTCCGTTTACACAAGCTAGCAGATGCCGCATCTGAAGCCGCTTTCTCTGTTTCGTGACCTTTTTCAAGACCGTCGATAAACAACCGTAAACAGACACTATAAGTCCCTCGAGAAATATACCATAAAAATGAACTTTCTAAACCAGAGTTCCCCAAACTTTTTTGTGTCGTAGACCCCTTGCCATGTTTTTCCGTGTTGGGTAGACCCCCTACTTACCTGATATTCATTTCCTGTAAATTTCTAACTGTAGTGAAGTTTAGTGTTACAAACTTAAAGTAAAAACATGTTAATTTATACATTTATTAATTGAATTTAAATTAAAACTACTCAAAATAAAATTTTGTATCTGTTATGCAAAATATACGTAACATTAAATAAACAGGTGTCTGACCAATAAGTGCCCGCATTGAAAAGAAAATAAGAGGGATGAAATAAAAAAAAAAAGTGAAAAATACTAAAAAAAAAGTTTTTTACTTAGAATAGTACAATAAGCGAACTATAAATAAAATAACATAAGCAATAAGTCAATATGTTTAGTGAGAAGGATGAACCTGATGCTTTAATAATAAATTATCAACATTTGGCGTCAATTTTGCAAGGGTTAATCTTAAATCTCCTCGGCTAATGATGTCCAGTCTGTTTCTTTTTTTCGTTAGGAGATTGGTAACAGCGCTGAACACCCTTTCCACTAGGTACTAGTATGACGATGGAAAGGAAATTAAAAATTTCCTCACTATATTCCATAATACGGGATAAGTAACGGGTATGTTGTTTTGCAGCCAGAATTGCTGATATCAGTTTTTAAACTGAACCTTAAGTTCTTCGTTTGTAGTTAGTTCAATCAGTTCCTCTTGTATTATGACATTCGTTTCTTCTATGTCACCATATGGATTAATTATCCACGGTGGTATTACCATAGTCAAAATATCCTCAAACCTAGATTCAAAATCTGAATAGAGGGCATTTAAATGTTGAACGTAAGTTGAAACGTCGTCTTCCTGCCAGCTTGTCTGTGACAAACTGGGGAACTGAGAAAATTCGCCCCGTCCAATATTTTGCTTCACTAGTTTAACTCTGGCAAGAAACGCTGATAAGATGGACTTTGTTTTAATCAAATTTAAACTGTCACCTTGTAATTGCAAATTAATCATATTAAATTTTGTAAACAAATCTGTTAAATAGGCGATGTGTGTTTTCCTCTTCATTAAATTTTCTTTTAAAATTTTATCTTAAGTATCCAGAAATTCTAAAATAGTCCCAAAAAATGCAAAAAATCTTGTCAAACATAAGCCTTTCGACAGCCAGCGTACTTCAGTGTGAAGGAGTAATTGATGAAAGTGTTCGTCATTTTCTTCGCACAACTGCGCAAATAACCGCGTATTCAACGCGTTGCTTCGGATTCGGTTTACTGCATCAATGACTAAATGAAGTGATTCATGCAATCTAACACTCACATTTTTAGCAACTAAATGTTGTCGATGGATGCCGCAATGTATTGCTAACACCCCTGACACATTTTGTTTTAAATAGCTTATAAATCCACGATAACGTCCAACCATGGCAGGTGCTCCATCTGCAGCTACTGATATTATACATATTTGATAAAGGAATTGCTTTTTCAATGAAGTAATCCTTCAAAACATGAAATATTGATTCACCTTTAATGTCGGTTATCAAAGTTCTTGCGAAGAGCAGTTCTTTGTAGATTTCTTGATTCATAATAAAACGAACATATGCCAATAATAATGCTGCATTATCAGGTAAAGTTGACTCGTCCAATTGTATAGAGAAATGGGTCGTTTGCAAATAATTACATAAGAAGCTTTCAATATCAGAACTCATTTCATCTATACGTCTTTCAACAGTATTGTTGCTTAAGGGAATTCTTTTCATGATATCAGATGCAAGTTTGTGTAAAACAGTTTTTAAAACCTCTTCAACGGCTGGCAAAATTAACTTCTCTCCGATAGTATGCGGTTTTCCGGATTTTGCTATAAGTAACGAGATATTGTAAGACGCCCGCAAACCATCATCATTTCTTTGTGACGTCGAAGCGAACATTCTGTCCAGTGTAGCTCTCTTCTGAAATTTATCTTTGAGTGTTTGAAAGTATTTCAAATCTTTCTCTGTTTTATCAGGGTGGCATCTTCTCAGATGATCTTGCAGCTTAGATGGTTTCATAGCGTCATTGCCCAAAACTTTGTTGCATAAAAGGCACATAGGCGATTGTTTGTTCGGCAATGATGGAATGAAGCCAAATTTCAAATATTCAACGCTTTACTGTCTACATTTCTTTTTAGATTCGGAAATGGCATCAGTCATCTGTGGGCAAAATTAAATTATTTAAATAAGACAGAAAATCCAGCAGCTGAATATTAAAAGTATTTTTTGATTTTTCCGAAAACATTCCATAATTCGAACATCTTCTTGCAACAATTAGCTCGAATTACGGAGATTGCACTGTAATTATATTGCCGATTGCTAAAACTTTCAAAAAGAAACTATTGAGGAGTACTCGTGTAGTTTTGCATGATTGAATATTTAACTACTAATAACTAAAGTCATGATTGGCGTAATTTATCAATCTTTGCTAACTACGAGTACAAAATTAAAATTTAATAAAAAATAATGTACTTACTTTTCTCCAGCACTCTCAAACAAATTAACACTGACTCACTATAATTTGTGTGACATACTATCTGTTTATATTTTTTAAAATATTTTCTTAGCACTTTCCTTTTCAAGATTCAGGAAACGAATAAACGTATTTGTCCCACATTCGTATTTATAGAGGGACGAATTGAACAATTCAGTGCAAGGTAGCGAAGCTCTGAGACTGCGACGCTCAGGTTTTTACAAGTTCAAAATGTATTGCGACCACAAAGCGAATACCAACATCCTACAACTTACACAATTTTATAAACATATATAATAAATTTTTTACTTCATAGGTACTTTTATAAATAATGAATATGTTTTGATATTATAAGATAGTATGATGTAAGTAAATAGGTACTATCAGTGTATGTGTTGAGATCCACTATCGTGGACCCCCATATTCATTTCATGGACCCGCAAATTTTTTTTCGCTGACGTAGACCCTTTGCAGCTTGTCATAGACCCCTAGGGGTCGATATAGACCACTTTGGGAATCAATGTTCTAAGGGAAGCATTTGTGAGAGTCGCAATTTTTTTCATACTATAATGTATTTGTTAATTCTTTTGCACTAAGCCATTTATGTATCGTCGTATTTTACTTTAGGTGTCCAAGTGACCGCCCCCAGCGTGACCGCAACTGCGACCGCCCCCAAACCGATGGCGCAAACGACGCCGTTCTCGGCGGTGCTACCCACTGCAACTGCCGCCCCCGCAGCGGTGGCGCCATCTAGGATACAGATCTTAAATTCGACTGTCATACCAGCGCCGACGGTCGTCTCCTCGATACCGCAAAGGTGAGATACATTTTGCTCATGAGAAATTCCCCTTTTCCTCTGCAAATATTAGTGTTGAGTTTTGAATTATCCACTATATTTTTTTCACCGCTTGGTGAAAGATGTCAATATTTGAGATAGTGCTCAAACTAAATCCAATTGGTCGTACCTAGACTCTGAAAAGAGCATGTTGGAGATTCAAGATTCTAGTTTTCAGTTTTTTAGGAGAAACATTTTAGGAGCAACGCAGTTCTAACCGACAGCGCATGAACCATTTTTTGCAAAACATTTGCCTTCCTTTTTAGTCCACGGGCTTGAAAAAATGGTTTCCTGTTAGGCTATCATAAGGATCAGATAGCCCGTTTATTCATCATCAATATCCTGTTTTTAAAATCTCGATACGATTTGTCTGTCTCAATGAAAAATGTAATCGACCACTGATATCTGGAAGACCAGAGCGATCGCAGAGAGAATGTAAGGGTATTTCCGAAAACTGGAAAAAATCTCCTATAAAATTTTATTGCAATCTTTGATGAATATTTTTTTGTTTTCTTAGTGTTGATTTTAAACAAGTCAAAAAAGTTAGTTTTTGTCTTATTTTGGAAAATCGAGCGCATTTTTCGGGCTGCTAATGAGAAGGATAATGTTTTTAGGTTTTTTATACCTCAATGTGTCCCAAATGGTGATTGCAAACAAACTAAATGAATATTTTGTGGAAAGTATTGTTGATATTGTGGGTACTGCCAATGTTGCACCTGACTATATGAAAATCAGTTTCCAGGGGGAAATGTTGCATACACTTTCAAATTTTCACAGTGTATCATTGAATTATCTAAGAAAAAAAGTAAACAGTTTAAAATCAAATAACAACTGTGCCGAAATGACTACTAAAAACGTGCTGAAAAACTGTTTCGAAATTTTGGGATATGCTGTATTAAATTGGATCAATTGTTCACTGAGAAGCAGTTCTTTCCCTGAAAATTTGAAATGCTCTACAATAACACCAGTTCCCAAAATAAAAAATTCTAAAAGATGCAGCGATATGAGACCAGTAAATGTGTTACCAGACATTGAAAAATTATTAGAGTCCATAGTGCATTTCAAGTTGGTAACTGAGAATTGGAGAAGAGCCATAGACTCAGAAGAAGTTGTCATAGCAGTATTTTTGGATTTGAATAGGGCATTTGAAACAATTGATAGAGATATTTTGCTAGGTAAATTGAAGGCATATGGTATAACAGGAAGTTTATTGTTATTTGTCTAAAAGGATGCAAGTTATAAAAGTTAATGACACTATTTCATCAAAAATTGAAAATACGTTGGGTGTTCCACAGGGCAGTATCCTGGGACCACTTCTTTTTATTTTATACATAAATGATTTACCTGCCATAGTCAAAAAATGCAAAATCCCGATTTTCTCCGATGACACAATGATTTATATAAGTACTAAAAATATTCAGTATATAAATGAAGACTTGAAACTTGTCTCAAAATGGTTAGCATCTAACCGACTAAAATTAAATACAAGTAAAACGAAAAAAACAATGTTCAAAAGTTCAACTGAATATTGATGGTGAAGATATTGAATTCGTAGAAAATTTTATATACCTGGGGGTTTTTGTTGACTCTCGATTAATTTTTGATATTCATTATGAAAAAGTTATAAATAAGATTAGTAGTAAAGTGGGATATTTATCGAGAACTTCAGGATGTCTGAGTTCATATAGCAGAAAAATTATCTATAATACCATGATTCTTCCAAATTTCTTGTACTGTTCGACTCTTCTATATTTAGCAAATAATTCCATTTTTGAAAAACTGCAAATTTTACAAAATAAGTGCATGAGAATAATACTAAATAAAGATAAATATACTCCAATTAGGCAAATGCTTAGCAAATTAAAATGGCTCAATGTAAAAATTTTTATCAAATATCTTGTAATGATATTCATTTATAAACTAAAAAATAATATATTTCCATCAAGTCTAACTAATTTAACATCATCAAATGTCGACCATCATTTACATAATACCAGAAATAAAGATGACTTCCAATGACCAAAAATTATAATATATGCTACAAATCTGTATTCCATCAAGGGTTGATTGAATATAATAAATTAAGTAAAATTGAGAAATCACTTGTTAAATCTACAATTATAGGTTGCCCAGCATTTACACCATACACCATATGGCTTGAATTTACTAGTTCTAAGTTGTTTACAATTATTCTGTTTATGTAGCCAAATGTGCTAAATAAATCTTTCTACTACTGCTACTACTTTTCCATAGCTTGACAGTTTGATTCCCAAGTATTCCGTTTCCATCACTTGTTCTATTACTTTGTTATTTACGACCAGTTTACATCGTCTCGGTTCCGCTGATATCACTATCGATTTAGTTTTCTCTGTTGAAATCACCATGTTGTATATGAGCGCCGTATCTTCGAATTCTTTAATTAATCTTTGTAGGTCATCTTCATTTTCGGCTATTATTATGGCGTTGTCGGCGTAGCATATTATCTGCATTTCCTTTTCTCCCATTCTATATCCTCTTCTTTTTTTAACTTTCTTTATGATTATCATTATCAGATTATATATTAGTGGGCTCAGCGAATCTCCTTGTCTAATGCCAGTTTCATACTTGCGAGAGTTTTCCTTTACATCTTACCATAGCTATGTTATCTTTATATATATATATATATATATATATATATATATTCCCTCATCCTATACGAAAACAACAATTAGCAACATCCTCACATACTACTGTAAGTTGATTCAATTTAAATTCATTTTAAACTTTTGTTGCTACTGTTATCATTGTAATTGCAGCTCCTGATGATGATGGCAAAGTCCATTGAAAGCTAGAGAGAATTAACAAAAGTATAAAGAGTCCTCTTTGCTTAAATTTTGTCGAAGTACCCAACAAAAGGCGGAAGCTTTAATTTTTCACCTATATATACATATATATATTCTCAATAGTTTTTACCAAATCCAGTGGTACATATAATAAATGTATCGCGTCCCGAATTCTCACTCTATCAAACGCTCTCTTCAAATCTATCAGGCAGAGTTATTCGTTCGTTTATTTTTGTCGCTATTATTCTTGTTGTTAATTTGAGTGTTGTGTTTAACAGATTTGTTGCTCGATAATTATTGGGGTCTTTCTTATCCCCTTTCTTGAAGAACATCAGCATGATCGCTCTCCTCCATTCATCTGGTAATCTGTTCGTCGTCATTATTTTTTGAATAAGGAGTTGCGGTTGTTGTACAAGGTAATCACCTCCATATTTTAAGAGTTCATTTGGTATTTGATGTTCTCCTGGTGACTTTCTATTTTTTAATTTATTTATTCCTTGTTTCACATCTTGTTGGGAGATTTCGGTCTTTTCATCAGTTATTATATTTGGCGTTTCTGGTAAAGATCCTTCGTTTTCTTTTTTAAACATTTCTGTCTCTCTTCTATGTGTTCTATTTCAACTAGTTCTTTCATTTCGCTTCTTTGTTGTTATATGAAGCGCCATACTTGTGTCTGTTGTCCGTAGAAATCCATCTCTCTTTTTGTTTTTGTTTATTATTTTCGTTCCAAGGGCTTCTGGCAGCGTCCAGAATATTTTTCTTAAGTTTTCTCCACCTAGTTTCTACATTGCTTCCATTTTCGATATTTTCTATTTTTATCTTCTGTTCTAGCCTTTTTTGATATAATGATTTTATGGGTAAATGCTGGGCAACCTATAATTGTAGATTTAACAAGTGATTTCTCAATTTTACTTTAAATTCTGTCACAGTTTTCTGGTCTTTTATCTCCGAGTATAATTTATTATATTCAATCAACCCTTGATGGAATACAGATTTGTAGCATATGTTATACTTTTTGGTCATTAAATGGAAGTCATCTTTATTTCTGGTATTATATAAATGATGGTCGACATTTGATGATGTTAAATTAGTTAGACTTGATGGAAATATATTATTTTTTACTTTATAAATGAATATCATTACAAGATATTTGATAAAATTTTTTACATTGAGCCATTTTAATTTGCTAAGCATTTGCCTAATTGGAGTATATTTATTTAGTATTATTCTCATGCACTTATTTTGTAAAATTTGCAGTCTTTCAAAAATGGAATTATTTGCTAAATATAGAATAGTCGAACAGTACAAGAAATTTGGAAGAATGATGGTATTATAGATAATTTTTCTGCTATATGAACTCAGACATCCAGAAACTCTCGATAAATATCCCACTTTACTACTAATCTTATTTATAACTTTTTCATAATGAATATCAAAAATTAATCGAGAGTCAACAAAAACCCCCAGGTATTTAAAATTTTCTACGAATTCAATATCTTCACCATCAATATTCAGTTGAACATTTGTACATTGTTTTTTTTCCGATTAACAAGGCTTTCGTTTTACTTGCATTTAATTTTAGTCTGTTAGATGCTAACCATTTTGAGACAAGCTTCAAGTCTTCATTTATATAAGAGATACCAGACTGAATATTTTTAGTACTTATATAAATCATAGTGTCATCGGCGAAAATCTGAATGTTGCATTTTTTGACTATGGCAGGTAAATCATTTATGTATAAAATAAACAGAAGTGGTCCCAGGATACTGCCCTGTGGAACACCCAACGTATTTTCAATTTTTGATGAAATAGTGTCATTAACTTTCATAATTTTTCAATGTCTGGTAACACATTTACTGGTCTCATATCGCTGCATCTTTTAGAATTTTTTATTTTGGGAACTGGTGTTATTGTAGAGCATAATAATAATAATCTATCATTTTTCTTCTGTCGTTGTCACTATTGGATATATGGAATCTTAACTGTTTTTTTAAGTTTTTAAGTTTCACCAAAATACAGCTTGTCAATCACTGAAAAATTTGTATGTTTTTTGCTCCCTTAATATTTATGAGTAGTGTATTTAGCTCCTGAACAAAACTTGTTTCAGGATCGTTCTGCCGAACCAAATAAAGTCGGGTCCGGTGAAGATCAACCCGACCAAGCCGACAGTGAAATCAACGCCAATCAAACCGATGCCCAACAAGACCACAAAGATAGTGACCAAGAAGAAACCAGCGGCGCAATTGCAGAGCAGTTTGGAAGACATTACGTTGGACTTCGATTCGCCTTACTCTCCAGGGTCGAGCGATTACGATGACCTGTTTGAACCGCCCAGTGAAATCGTTACCAAACCGGTCATCAAGGTGAGGAAATGAAAAAAAAATCAGTTCAATAACGCATGTATTCACCGAAGGCTATTTTGACGCAGAGAATTTTTATACGCGTTCGGAAAGTGATGTAAATGTAATAATTTCAAGCAGACAAGATGTTGACAGACTGATGTAATTATCATTCAGATGATTTTAAGCACATATTAGACACACATCATAGATTTCCCCGTACGTTTGCCCTTCAAACCAACAATGATTGAGATATGGTTTTTACACGCGCTCTGCTTCTGCTCTCCGAGTTCATCGCCGCGTCGTGCGGTAGAGCAGGGGAAGCATGTCTATGGATAATTGTATGAGCCTGTGTAACCGATTTGATCCGTTTAATTTCCCTTTTGTACAGGGTGGCCGGCTTAGAATGCGAGGTACTGTATCTGGGAACCTATCCACCGTAGATGCTTGCGGCAAAAAATTTCTTACTAAAATGGTCGAGAGTATATACGGGATAATATTTCCAAGTTTCTGAAATGGCCGCTAGGCGACGTATCTGCAATCTTGAATCTAAAATAGTGATATTTCTGTCAATTCCTCTATGTTAACTTAACAAAAAAAATCCCTGATCTTTAAAAGCCGAGGTTGTTGTGAGTTTTTTGGTTTGACAAAAAGTAGCTGAATGATTTCTAAACACACTCGCGAAAACCGCATCTCGATATATTGTGTCTAACTTAACATTTAGGCCAAAGAAAGTTTTATATCGAAATCCCTTAATTTTTATTTTTTAAAGTTTTTTCTGGAATAAAATCATTCCTTTGAAAATACTACAAAATATCGTTTAAAGGTAAGTATTGCATATTTTTTGTTTAAATGCATATTCACTATGGGTATATACGAAAACGACAATTAATAAAAGCAGACCATGGAATACAACAAAACAAATAGCTAATCAAAACATAAATAACACTGGTCAACAAAATTTTCCACACGGACTTTTTTGATATTTTTTACTTTAATTGGTGATTGTAAGAAAAAATAAACAGTTAAAAAAATTTGCTAGACGAGGATTTTATTCTATTGAGTAATTTAAAATATTAAGAAAAAACACAGATCTCGTAAATCAAAAGTTATTTTTTTTATAAATGACTTAATAATCTAAGATTTTCTTGAATATTTAGCTTCTGGTTGGTCCCTTTTAATTGTCCAGCAGTAATCTGCTAACATATTTGGGCTCCATTTGCCCTGGTACCGCTTTTCCATATTAGAAATGTCCTGATGGAACCTCTCACCGTGCTCGTCGCTGACAGCCCCTAAATTGTCAGGAAAAAAATCCAGGTGGGAGTCTAAAAAATGGATCTTAAGTGACATGTTGCAACCCAATGCTTGATATGACAATAATAGCTCGCTAACCAACTCTCTGTAGCTGTCACTCTTGTGGTTACCCAAAAAATTTGAAACAACATTTTTAAAAGCCTTCCATGCAGATGTTTCTAAATCGCTTAATTTTTCTTCAAATCTTGAATCTTTTATTAACTCCCTAATTTGAGGGCCAACAAAAATACCCTCTTTTATCTTTGCATCACTTATTTTAGGGAATTTTTCTTTTAGATACAAAAATCCACTCCCATTGCGATCCATTGCCTTCAGAAATTTTTTTATTAATCCTAATTTGATATGCAATGGTGGTAGAAGCACATTATTTGGCTGTACAAGGGGTAAATACTTTACGTTTTTTTGCCCAGGAACTAACGATGCACGCGTAGGCCATGTTTTTTTTATATAGTGATTAGTTCTGTCTCGGCTATCCCATTCATATAAAAAGCAGCAAAACTTTGTATAACCCAGCTGAAGTCCAAGTAATAGTGCAACAACTTTAAGATCACCGCAGATTTTGAAGGAATATGTACTGTAATTTATTTTTTCAAGTAAAAGTTTCATATTTTCATAGGTTTCTTTCATATTTGCAGCATGGGCCAGAGGTACAGACGGAAGCTTATTTCCATTATGCAATAACGCTGCTTTTAGACTTGCTTTCGAAGAATCAATGAATAAACGCCACTGAGAGAGATCAAAATCTATGTCCAACATTTTCATAATCTCATTTATGTTATTGCAAAACACCAAATCTCCATCCTGAGAAACACACGTTCTGAAGTGTTGATCAGGGTTTCGAAAATAGCTAACTTTTGTATTATGATATAGCAAATTCCATTCTTTTAAACGTGATCCTAATAGTTCTGACTGCTTTTTTGACAAATTTAAATCCCGAACCAAATCATTTAGGTCTCCTTGAGTTATCAAATGTGGCTCGTTTGCAATTCCTTTTAACTCAAAGTCATCGTCCTCGTCAACACATTCACCTGAAGTGGACGGTTGTGAATTGTTCTCAACAGACGTACTTGCAACTGGTATTAGTTCTGGCAATTTTTTACAATGAGAGACTGGTCTTATAGCCGAAGATAAGTTAGGGTAAATAACTGTGGTTTTTTTCTTGTAATTTCTACCTTTTATGTCTGTGAGACAAAAATAGCAATCTGAAACGTGATCTCGCTGTTCAGTCCATATCATGGGTACAGCAAACGGTACCTTTCTTCCAGTCAGTTAAATTTTTCACACACGTTATGCAACAGACATGAGGGGCCCAGGATTTGTCTTGATGGGCGACAGAAAAACCAAAACATTGGTGATAACACTCCAACACAAGATTCGTAAAATTTCGTCGTTGTTTTTTGAATGTTACTTCTCCGCAGACATAACAAAAAGAGTTAGGATCATTATTACACTTCCTCGACATATTCACAGGGTTAATAAATCACAAAAAAGCGTTCAGATTCAACAACAAATATTTTTATAAGGATTTACTTGTAAGCGTTTCTGTTAATTTACCGCCGTAGTACTAGTTATGAGTATTACCGTATCACAACAAATATGAGGCTAATAGACATATGACAGCTGTCATGCAATAATGAGGGTAGACTGATAAAACAAAATTAGCTGTCAAAGTTCGTGTGGCAAAACCAGTGTTGACCAGTGTAATCCACAAATTACTTTGATCAATTTTTAAGCTTACCAAAAGCGTCTTACGGACGATGAAGCTGTTGATATGCTTGCAGTTTATTTTGTTTAAGCGACTCGATATCCAAACTCTTTTTTTACAGCCCAAGTTTGTTAAAATCGGCTCAGCTTCAGGGTGTTTTCTACGGAAACCCTTTAATAGCCCCCACCACTTAGAGATTCAGCAAAAATTGTCAAACGAAAAAAGGTTCCTTTTGATCTTTATCAGCTATTTTTTTTGTAAGGTCAGTATGGCGGAATTCACAGAAACGCCACTTTTTCAGATTCAAGATTGTGGTAACGTCTCCTAGCGGCCATTTCAGAAACTTGTAAATATTTTCCAGGTTTTTCTATTGGCTGTTTTAGTACGAACTTTTTCTGCCGCAATCCGCTACGATGGATAAGTTCTCAGATACAGTACCTCGCATTCTTAGTCGGCCACCATGTACATGTTCTGGTCTAATTTGTGCTGAACATGTGCGGCATGGCAAGTGAAAAGTCAACCTACTCGACGCCGTCTTTTATTTTAGGGTAAGACGGTCACCAGTAAATCGCCCCAAAAACACGTGTCGGTATTCGACGCTCTGTTCGGCAGTTCTCCGACATACAAACCCTCGAATACCAAGCCGATGAAGACCAGGTACAAGAAGAACAGCAGTGGAACTACTACGAAGACAAAAACAGTCGGCGTAAAACTGGATGAAGATTGCTTGAAGATTCTCGATGAGCTGCCCAATTCTGCTGTTGAGATGCAAGTTAAGGATAAGGTGAGAAAAGTCTGTTTGTTGAAGATTTGTTTAGCATTAATGCTAGAACGTCATTTTGTATGATTATACGTTCACACACATTATTTTCTGTAATTTTACATTCTTGTCTATTAAAATTACTACTACAGTATATTCAGATAAGAGATAGACCGGACATAAACAAGACCACGTGATCATCGAACGCTGTAACATTCGGCAGGGACGTATTAAGAGTCACGCAGTACATATTTTAGATAGGAGATGCTGCTTTGCGTAACTTTGTAGTAAATTAGCACAATTCGATGTGTATACGATTGGTGATGGATATAGGATCATGTGGGGGTGGGGTAAGAAATATATAATGATGTAAATATACATGAGGGTTTCAAAATTTTCGATTTCCAGCTTCGGATGCCGTCTGATGTTTGGTGAAATACAGTCGAATATAATCTCAAAATGGCGTTTAAATTAGCCTAAATTAAAAATAATCGTATATCTCTTAAAATTGCTTTTAGATTATTGATTAGTATATTTTTTGATTTCTAGGTAAATATGTAACCAAATTAAAACGTTCAAAACGTAAAAAATGTGCATGGTTGAACATTGTCAGAAAGTAGATTCTTGAATAGGTTTTGCCAAAATGGGTTCAAAAATGTCAATAATTAATTAAAAAATACAGTAGCTTTATAATTACTTATAACTTACCGAATTTGATGAACGACATCTTTTATTGGAAAGATGAGCTTGATGAGCTTTCATCATCGCTACTGCCTGAAGCACCAACGTCAATAATGAATGGCTCGACTTGTTCCTCTAAAATATTGTCCAGTTCCCACATTCTCTTTTCAACTTTGTCTTTCACGTGCTTAATACAGTTTTCCCATTTTTGCGCTGTTATTAGTTCTAGTGCTTCTTTGGAAAGTCCTTTGAGGTCACAAAATTTAAAAGTTGTATTGTGCTTAGCTATATAATTTTTAACCTCTGCCCATATGAGCTCAATGGGATTGAGCTCGCAATGGTATGGAGGTAACCGGAGCACAGTTTTATTTTGACTTGCTGTCATTTCGTCAATGGCGTATTTTTGATATTCCGCCTTGTGATCCTTGACAATTCTTAATAATTGTACTTTCAGCATTGCTTCTTCAAAGTTGATATTTTTCGAGCGGAGCCAATTTTGAACATCAACTTTCCTTGAAGCCGTTGTTGGGACCTTCTCCATTCGTCGAGAATGATAAGGCGCATTATCCAACACAATTACTGCGTTTTCCTCTAAGTTCGGTAAAATTTTTGAAATCCACTGTTCAAACGATTCGCCATTCATTTCCTCGTGGTAATCTCCAGTTTTCTTAGACTCAAAGCACCACAGACCGTCAACAACAAATCCATCCTCACTGCCAATATGACAGATAATGAGCCTTTTCCCTTTACCTGGAAATCGAAGTACTATCTGGTGTAGATTTATTTCAATAAGCGAACCTTTTTCAAATGTTTTCATCACATGCAGCGAAAAAACATTGAGACATGAGTATCAGATTGCTATAATTGGGATTATTTAGTCATATTGAAAGAAAGAATATTGAACGTCGTATGATTACTCAGCGCTTCACAATTTAATTTAAAGTTATAAACCTCTAAAAAATGAATGATCAGGAACCTGAAATACGCGCAAATATTAATATTAACAAATTATAACTTTATAAAGCTTAAAGTATGAATTAAAATGATTAGAAATATTAGGAACGGTACACAATATAAAACTTAGTAACTTTTTTTAAGTTTATAATATTCGACATATTTTAAGATTATATTAAAAAATTATTGAAATATCGAAAACACATAAAAACATGGCTTAAAAAAGTTCTAACAAATGAAAATGACAATAAAACATCCACGCATTTTATCGAAAGTTATAAAAGTTTTGTTACTTGTAATATGTTTTATCCGCCTACTGGAATTAATGTTTAGAACCTTGTTCCCAAGGTTTGAAAAACATCCGATTGTTGTCTATTACTCGTATTCACCTGCTGGATTTTTTAATCCGGTGGACAGTCCATCTAGAAAGGCCCTCCTGGATGAAGTTACAGAATCATCAACTCATACTTTACTTGTAGTGTGTCCTGCGTTTAGCCACGTTTCATCAAGGTAATAAATCTTCCTGTTTTGATTTCTATATTTCCCAATTTTTGTTAAATAATCCCTCCTCCATAGCACAATTTCTTCTCTATCCAGTAGTAAACTATTACGACCCCGTTTTTTCCATTTGAAATTTAAATGCTTCAGTAACGCATGGAAAGTTGATCGTTTGAAATTTGTCAACGTTGTATCTCCATTTACCTCCTGCAGTACTTTATCTATAGTAGGTATTTCATTCCTAAAGAAGAATTCGTGCACTTTCCTCCTAATCGCATGCTTATCAGCTTCATCCAATGATTTAACAATACTTTTGCGATGTTTACTGGTCATTGGCTCAGAAAAGGTGTGATTTTTTTTGTATCGTCTTAACACATTAAACACTGATGCGCGACACACCCCAACTTTGTGATTAACCTTCACAACAATTTCTTTGATGGTTGATGCCTCGTTCTCCTCGCGCTCGATCTTATATATATTCAAAATGACCTCTTTCATTTCTGCACTCAGGTGTCTTTTTTTAGAGCGTTTCCTAGGTGGACTACAGGAGTTTACAACTTCATCGGCAGTATCTGTACTACTGGGCATTTTGCGCAAGCAGTTTATAACAATAACAATCAATAACAAGGTATAACAATAACAACGACAAACTCAACAACTCAATAAGATAACAAACGAAAACGTCCAAAGAAATATCAAATTGCAATGATGCACACGACATACGTAACACGTCTGAACCTGAATGTGACTCTGCCTTGATACGACTGCTCTGCCGGTCGGCATAGGCATTTAATTGCGAATTGACCAATGAGGCTGCGTTAGCGTGAAAATCACCCGAACCTTTTGTTTACATCCGGTCTATCTCTTATCTGAATATACTGTATGCATTTGGGGTATTCATAAAGATTTTTTTAAATTTGCCTTAAACATTTTTAAATTCGACGCTGTTTAACATTATTATTCAATTATCAAATTCAAATACTCCCTCTTGAAATGCGGATTTGCTAGATATGCTACTATTTCAATTTTCTACATGAAAGTCTAAACTGCCTCTAGTCTCGTTGTTATGCTAATTAATTTGGAATAGCTTCTGTTAGTATTGGAACCTTATCGACATCAGAATTTTTGGAAAGTTCTTATATTTTAACTGGATTTTCAATTTCGTGGCCTGAATCTGGTTTTTCAATATACAAAATTTCATCTAGGTTCAAAAAATCATAAAGGTTTTCATTATCAGCCAATTTCAATAAAGTCTTATTTTTGAGAATATCTAAAAGTACATTAAGTAGTAAGTCATGTTCTGGGTCAGATATCTCAGCCTCATTTAACTGGTCTTCACTATGCATATTTTCAGGCTTAAATCCTGCTTTGCACTGTTTTTTTTTGTTACTTGGTGCCAAACGGTTTTTTTGTTTGTTTGTTTCAGATTTATTTAGCATTAATGCTACAATATCCATAATATCCATATTACACAGTATATCACAAAATATATCACGTCTTCAAGACTACATATTTTTATACAAAATTTCACTACTATGAATTTTGGTTTTCCATGAGATATTTTTTCATTTCCCTTTGAACATTTTCAAACTGACACACATCTTGATATAATTACTTATATACGACGCTATACGAAATTCTATAAATGTAATTTATTTTGTTGGATATTTTAATATAATCATAGTGCTCTTCAAATTTTAATTTACTGTCTACGTATATGCCCAAATATCTAAATGATTCGATAGACCCAATTTTTTTGATGATTAATTGTAAGATTTATCGTATTTTGATCTAAATATTTTACTATTAGCATTTTTTTGTTTTGTTTGTGTTTAGTTTAAGTTTATTTACATTTAACCAATTTATCACGTTTTTCATATCATTATTTAACGATTTTTGCGAAAACATTCCATAATTCGAACATCTTCTTGCAACAATTAGCTCGAATTACGGAGATTGCACTGTAATTATATTACCGATTGCTAAAACTTTCAAAAACAAACTATTGAGGAGTACTCGTGTAATTTTGCATGATTGAATATTTAACTACTAATAACTAAAGTCATGATTGGCGTAATTTATCTATCTTTGCTAATTACGAATACAAAACTAAAATTTAATGAAAAATAATGTACTTACTTTTCTAGAGCACTCTAAAAAAAAATAACACTGACTCACTATAATTTGTGTGATATACTATCTGTTTATATTTTTTTAAATATTTTCTTAGCACTTTCCTTTTCAAGATTCAGGAAACGAATAAACGTATTTGTCCAACATTCGTATTTATAGAGTGACGAATTGAACAAGTCAGTGCAAGGTAGCGAAGCTCTGAGACTGCGACTCTCAGGTTTTTACAAGTTCAAAATATATTGCGACCACAAACCGAATACCAACATTCTACAACTTACACAATTTTATAAACATATATAATAAATTTTTTACTTCATAGGTACTTTTATAAATAATGTATATGTTTTGATATTATAAGATAGTATGATGTAAGTAAATAGGTACTATCAGTGTATGTGTTGAGATCCACTATCGTGGACCCCCATATTCATTTCATGGACCCCCAAATTTTTTTTCGCTGACGTAGACCCCTTGCAGGTTGTCATAGACCCCTAGGGGTCGATATAGACCACTTTGGGAATCAATGATCTAGAGTCTAGAGAATACACCGTAAACTATCATCAAATCCGATTTATGAACAAACAGCTCGTAATCCCCCTTTTTGTCTGGCCGATCAAAATTACATTGATTAAAATTCTTTATTTTTTATTGAACGAACTTTCGGTTCCAATGGAGATCTTTTTGAAGTTCAATTGACATGAAAACCACAGGATAAGTTTCAGATATTGCATTAGCAAACAGCTCAGTTAGCTCTTTGCGGGAAACGAGACTGAAATTGATATGGCAGATATTATCGGAATGAAGATATTCATTTGGTGTATGTCTTACTAGTAAAATTTACTTATTTCTACGCTGTGTGAAATCCTACTTTCAAGAACGCCCCAAATTTTCTCAACTTTCTCAACAAAAGAATGTTATGTATCATCAAAACTGAACTGGATGTTTATCTACAAATAAGTGAAATATTGTTTTTACAGTTTTTGAAGAAACTTAATCGTCAAGAGAGAGTGGTAGAAGAAGTGAAGTTTGTGCTGAAACCTCATTACAACAAGAAGCGGATTACCAAGGAAGAATACAAGGATATACTTAGGAGGGCTGTGCCTAAGGTAAGAATAACTTCAACATTTTTTTGAAGCTGTGTCGATATATTATTACTATAAGTACCAAGGAAATTTTGATACTGTAAATTAACTATTTGTTTCTTCACAAGTCTGATTGTTTTATCCCCAGCTCAAGTTGTTTAGATTTTTCTGCATTGTCATTATATTCAGATGAACAATTTATTTGGTCTCAGTAGACGCCAACTTAATCCTGAAAGTTACATAAGAATTTAATTTCTAATCGTTTCAAAAATTCTCAGTTTGTTTTCCAGTATTGCATTAGTAAATTTGGGGAATTTGGTTATTTGATTAATGGTTACACAATCCATTCTTAGTTTAAGTCGACTTTAAAACAGAACTTCATTTGTAGGTTGAATAGTTACCGATATTTCGTGATTAATATGTATTGTAGACGACAACGATATCATATTCGTTTACGTTTTTTGCCGATAATCATAAAACGGCTGTAAAACCGAGAACCGGAGGCATGAGGTCAGAGACGGTTCTGAAAATTTCCAAACATTTTCTCTTGCAAGTCTGGATGACCTGAGAGATGACTGAATCAAGTTGAAGTAACCTTAATTGTTATTGTAATTTATTATCCTGACATTAGTTGAAAATTCATACTATTAACCAAAATATACATTATACAGGGTTATCCAAATTAAGTGTCCACCATTAGTAACTTTGTTATTAGTGAAAATACAAAGTTGTTTGAATTAGCAAACTAGTAGCATTTTTAACGCTGGTAAAAATGAGAAATAAAAAAAACAATTGAGAGTCGTTATTTTGATTTTTTTCAGTAAAATAACATTTTTGTAAATGGAAACCCCTGTATATTATGTTTTTTTCTGTTAAAGCATCAAATTTTAAACAAAAAAGCTTACAATAACTTTTCTCCTAGGTTACAAATTGTTGAAGTTATGGCCTCCAATCTGATACAATTAAATTGTATCGACAAACTTTATTTTCAACATCAACTTATAATCTTACAAAATACAATAACAATTTTTTTTAAAGAAGATGCTCGAAAACACCACCTTGTTCTTCAATACATTTTTGGGCACGTTTTTCAACTGCTCGAACTGTCTTAAGTATGGTCCTACCATCTATCTGGGTTATCTTTTCCCTAACTGCAGTCTTTAACGCGTCAAGGTTATCGTACCTTCGCTTGTAAATTTGGTTCTTTAAGTAACCCCACAAGAAGTAATCAAGTGGGTTTAGATCTGGTGATCTGGGAGGCCACTGTATTGGGCCATTTGTTCCTATCCACTGATCATTAAAAGTAGTACTTAGAAAATGATAAGTACCTCTGGAGTTGTGGGCAGGTGCGCCATCTTGCTGAAAATGCAGATGATGTCTACTTATAAGATCCAATTCGTCTAAGAAATTAGTCAGAATTTCTGACATAAATTCCACATATCTTTCACCAGTTAGGGTTCCCTCATAAAAGAACGGGCCAACAATTTTTGAACCAATTATACCGCACCAAACGTTGAAACTGAAACGGACTTGTGGGCCTCTTGGATGTACTAACAAAAGATTTTCTCTTGACCAATAATGGTGGTTTTTTCTATTAAACATTCCAGAATTTGAAAAATTTGATTCATCTGTCCATAAAAGGTAACGAAAGTTATTTACATTTTGGCGACAGAAGCTAAGATACCAATGGCAAAAAACAAGTCTTCTCTCTGGATCCCCTGCCAAAAGCGTTTGAACTAGTCGGTACTTATACGGAATAAATTTGTATTTTTTTAAAATCCTTTGAACAGTACCATAACTGAAATTAGAGTCCTTGAGAATATCTGCTATTGAATTCTCACGATAAGCTTCAAAATATCCAATAACTGCAATTTCCGTGGCCTCGCTTATTATGAATTCTTTTTTTGCCCTTGTTTTAGCAAAAACATTTTCGTTGCCCCTAAATTTTCGATAAAGTCTCAGAAAATATCGTTCATACGGTTGAATGCGAGCGGGATATAATTCACTGTAGTTATTCTCTTGCTCTCAAGGAGGATTTTCTGCACACTAAATAGCATTCTAACATATCACACTTTTCTTCATGGGAGAACATTTTTCTTTAAATTAATGACACAATAAAGCTTATAAACAAGTATTTACACTAATGTTTGACATTATTTGATTTTATCATTGTTTTCCAAAGCCTTCTAGTTGCGAGTATGTCCAGTTTAACAATTTGTCGCTTATCTTAATGCTGTCAAATCGCGAACGCCATGTTGTTTTCATAGCCGTCTTAATATTATAATACTGCAAATAATTAAAAATATTTAATCGTTATTTTGACTTTATTTTTGACTTTAGCGGAAAAGTCATTATGAACTTTTTTGTCTAAAATTTGATGCTTTAACAGAAAAAAATATAATATACAGGGGTTTCCATTTAAAAAAATGTTATTTTACTGAAAAAAATCAACGACTCTCAATTGTTTTTTTTTATTTCTCATTTTTACCAGCGTTAAAAATGCTACTAGTTTGCTAATTCAAACAACTTTGTATTTTCACTAATAACAAAGTTACTAATGGTGGACACTTAATTTGGATAACCCTGTATATATATATATATTTAAAGAGAAAATGATCATGCGGAGAAAGGTATACAACAAAAAGTAGGAAAAAATGGGCAAAATCCAAATAGTAGGAAAGTGGATTTGAGCAGAAAATAGGATAGGTAACCCGAGCGATACGTATTTCTGCTCGTTGGCTTCATCAGGCCCGAAATGAATGCACATATGCAACTACAATCATACATACCTACAATGACCGTACTATATGGCGGGTCGGTAACACAAGGAAGAAAAAGAAATGTAAACGAATGTAATATAGTTGTCGTCTACTATATCACTTTTTTGTCTACCTGCCCTTAGCCATCTTATTCTAACTAATTTTAAAATCTGTTCTTAGTTGATATGTTTTGTGCATAAACCTCTCTGCAAAATGGTTAGTTTTAGAGATTTCGTGACTAATGCAGGGATGCTGGCGACTCACTTTCACTCACTTTTCATTGAAAACATCCTTTTTTCTCACTATTTTCGCTCTCGCTGTACATATTGTAGTTCACGAACTTTCTAACATTAGTTCGATAAAGTGTAGGTTCAATCAATTGGCCAAGAATACTTAATGGATATACAGTAATGGACAAAGTATACTAAGTGACATATAAATCCGAACACCCAGTTTAAATGGTTTTATTTTAATAAAATTTTGTATAAGTACTTAATGAAGCATAATAAGTAAATGATAAAAATTTCAAAATGATTGCACTGCTTTAAAGCCCTTTGACCTTTAATAATGTGTGGATGCACCCTGATGTGCTACGCATTCTCCAACGCGCCTGATCAGGTGGTCAATGTCCTCCTGTGGTATCTCATTCCAGGCAACCACCAACTCCTCTCGAAGTGTTTCTAGAGTCTGAGGAGGACGTTGCAAATTAAGCAATCTCCTACCCATCATATCCCACACGTGCTCAATTGGGGATAAGTCTGGAGATCTTGGTGGCCATGGTAACAATGTGACATCATTATGTTGAAAGAAGTCTATTGTGACTCTTGCAACATGTGGTCGGGCATTATCTTGTTGGAAAGTTGGATCTGCCAGGGTGTCAAGATAGGGTAAAAGATGGGGTTCTAGAACTTCGTGGATATAACGCTGCGCGTTCATGTTACCTCTGATGAAGATTAAAGGTGACCTGGAACCATAAGCTATAGCACCCCAAACCATAACTCCAACAGTGTGATGAACATGTCTTTCAACAAAAAACTGTGGATTCCTCCTTTCACCACGTCGCCTTCTAACCCTGGCACGACCATCGTGCATGCCTAAACAAATTCGAGACTCGTCATTAAAGACAATAGTGTTCCATTCCTGATCCCAGAGTGACAGTTGTCTGCACCACTCAAGGCGATTACGTCGGTGTTCTCGAGTTAAAGGGAGGACCCAGTGTGGCCGGTATGAAAACAAGCCAAAACTTCTCATTCGTCGGTAAACACTTCGCATGCCAATAGGTCTTCCGTGTTCTGCAAACCATTCATTTGCAATGGACCTGGTAGTGGAGAAACGGTCCCTTAAGGCCAATAATCTTAGGCGGCGATCTTCACGGTCTGTTGTTCTACGGCGGCGTCCAGTGCCCCTTGCTCTTTGCGTACGGCCTTCTCGAAGCCATGCCTGACAACACCTAACCACAGTGTCTACACTTCTTTGCACTCTAACTGCAATTGCCCGAAAAGAAAGTCCAGCTTCCCGAAGTCCCACTATACGGCCCCTATCAAACTCACTAAGTTGACGAAATCGTACAGGTCTCCGTACTCTAGGCATCGTAACCGATCGTAAAGGATGTCAAGAACCAAAATCCGCCAACGTTGATTCTTTACTGCGGCTGAAATATCCATTTTTAGAGCGTTAGTGAATTAAAAAAAAGCAGTATAAAAACAGGAATGTCCAACTGATAAGGCTGAAAATTTTTTTCGCTTGTTATTTACAGTAAGATAAATACACTCACAAACTGGGTGTTCGGATTTATATGTCACTTAGTATATATAGACACAATGATATTGCGCTTCTTTTTTAACTTGTTTTATTAATACACCAACCTATATACATAATTCGTTATAGCATAATACTCACTTATACATAAATAAATTCATTAGACTCCCTTCAATAAAAAATTAATTGAAAGAACTGGAACTATGAAAGGCAAAAATATATAGACAAAGCAAAACAACTATAGAAAAAAGAAGCAAAGTTCATTGAATTATAGAAAACCAACCATGTTTGTGTTGATATTTTGTAGCATAACCATTATTATCAATCACCTCCTGGCATCGTCTCGCCATAGATTGTAGAAGTCTCTTTATATAAGATTCATCAATCTGTCTCCACTTGTGCTCTAAAGCGGCAAATCTAATGCGACAAATCTAAAGCGGCAAACAGTTCATCCTTGTTTGAATAATGTTTATCTCGTATTTGCTTATCTAAGTATTCTCATATATTTTCAATGGGGTTTATATCGGAAGACTGTGAAGGCCATTTGAGAACTGGAATTTTTTCATCCAGAAATAAGTTCTTTGCGAGATTTGAAGTGTGCTTCGGGTCATTATCTTGCTGAAAGATTGATCTAAAGGGCATATTGTCTTCCATATAGGGTAACATGACATGCTTTAGTATATCTGTGTATGCAAACTTATCCATAATGCCATCTATTCTAGGTAAAGGTCCCCAAACCCTGAAAAGCACCCCCAAACCATAACAGACCCGCCTCCATGTTTGACAGTGGGCAAAGGGTTACTGGGGTTCAATCTTTGTTCACTAGGACGTCTAAGTTAATGAACACCATCTGATCCAAACATATTGAACTTGGATTCGTCACTGAAACATACCCTCTTCCAGTCACAGATGCTCCAATCAAGATGCAACCGTGCAAATTGTAATGGGTCCTTACGGTTTTTCCTCGAGATTAGCGGCTTCTTACTTGGGCGACGTGCAAATAACTTCAAATCATTTAATCTTCTACTTATAGTTTTCGTAGAAACACTGACAATTCCTTTTGTCTCGATATCGGCTTTTATTTGTCTTGGGGTTTTATCGGATCTTTGGACGAAATTACTTCTATTAATCTAACTGATCTAGCATTCAGTTTTCTAGGCCGACCTCTTCTCTTAGATGCTTTCAAGATACCTTTTTGTTTATATTTCTTCAATATTGCCCAAACGCTTTACGCTTCAGCTTCAAATTTTTTGCAATGTCGACTTGACGTTGACCATCTTTGTATAACTCAATGATCTTAGTTTTCACATCGAAAGAAATTTCTGGACCACGCGGCATGATCTTAAAATCACTCAACTTATTCCACAATACTTGATGAACATAAACTAATCCTCTTCTGACACGAAACTGTACTAAAGTAATTTTGAAAAGAATTTGTCTACATATTTTTGTCCCTCATAAAAAAGTGCTTATATTCAGACTTGTATTGTGTTCATTGCAGATAATGTAAAAACAAGTAATTTAGTTTTTCTACTAATAACGCATTTGTTTATAGAGCAATGAAGTACGAATTCGTTTTCTAAAGATATTTAGGTAAATATTCATATTTGTCTATATACTTTTGTCCTTTACGTATGCCGTATTTACCATGGTTTTTTATATTTTCTTATGTTTGACCTTTTATATGAGTTATTCTCGTTTTTTTCACACATTATGTATACTATCCGTATAAATATGCCATTACGATATTCAATTTCTCAGAAAAACAACTCACTTTTTATGTATAAATTCACTTTTTCTCTCTACTCCTTTTTGAAAATCTCGCTTTTCTCACTTAAATTCTGCCAGCGCCCCTGTTAGGATGAACACTTTTGAACCTTCCCACGTATATGAATATATACTAAGTGACATATAAATCCGAACACCCAGTTTAAATGGTTTTATTTTATTAAACTTTGTATAAGTACTTAATGAAGCATAATAAGTAAATGATAAAAATTTCAAAATGATTGCACTGCTTTAAAGCCCTTTGACCTTTAATAATGTGTGGATGCACCCTGATGTGCTACGCATTCTCCAACGCGCCTAGGCATGCTTCTGATCAGGTGGTCAATGTCCTCCTGTGGTATCTCATTCCAGGCAACCACCAACTCCTCTCGAAGTGCTTCTAGAGTCTGAGGAGGACGTTGCAAATTGAGCAATCTCCTATCCATCATATCTCACACGTGCTCAATTGGGGATAAGTCGGGAGATCTTGGTGGCCATGGTAACAATGTGACATCATTATGTTGAAAGAAGTCTATTGTGACTCTTGCAACATGTGGTCGGACATTATCTTGTTGGAAAGTTGGAACTGCCACGGTGTCAAGATAGGGTAAAAGATGGGGTTCTAGAACTTCGTGAAATGCTGAACATTTTTTCACTTGTTATTTACAGTAAGATAAATACATTCACCAACTTTTATTAAAATAAAACCATTTAAACTGGGTGTTCGGATTTATATGTCACTTATATAGTTTTACGTTAATTAAAAATGCGTTTTCTGTTTCAGATCTGTCACAATAAATCGGGCGAAATCAATCCTACGAAAATCAAAAACCTGATCGAAGCGTACGTCCGGAAGGTGAGGCACAGCAAAAAAGTGACGTCATCTTCCAATGCTGTTCCGCAAAAAGTGTAATCTGATTGTTCGCTAATTTAAGAAGCTATTTGAATCATGTTTGACATTGTAAATATTATTTAAAACGTAGTTATTGATTGTGAAGCCCGATTCTACTTTGTAGACATGTATTATTTATGTCACTTATGTGATTTGATCATTATTAAGTCGATATAGGTTTTAAGTGTAAGATTTTTAGTGAATATACAGACGTATGTTATATATTTAATTTTTTTATTAATTTTATTGGATATCTGCTTCTTTTGTAAAGGTTACAAAATAAAATAGGTGAAGTCTCGGATGTTTATTACGTCTTTTGGGATGCAGCATTTCGTTTTCAGCAATATTTAAACTTTTGAATGTTGGAAGTTTGAAAGTTTTGAAATAATGATGATTCCTAATCGCAATTTTGTGGGCGACTAGTCTAAACGCTTAGAAGGTGGACGAGGACCAGTCGACCGAGGCGGTACCACCCGCTAGCTTTTCCACGGTGCCGCATGTTTCCACAACTAAGCTATGCAAGTCGCTTATCTTCCAAAACAAAGAAATTAATGATGATGGATACCTCGAATACTAAGAATTCCTGCTGTAAACTCACTCCACTCCGGCTTTTCATATAGGATTTTTAGGTATTTATGAGACCACACGTGAAAAGATCCGACTAATTGCAAAAAAGTTATGGCCGAAAAGCAAGGCAAGCTGCAGGTTTTGGCACTTGCTGGTAATGCGGCGATAATTTCACGCAACTACTTGAAATTCTTCAAATCCGTAGGATTCATTCTTCTGAATAACAACAAAATTGGAGAATATTGGTCAAGTTGTTTTTTGAGAATTTCTAATTGTTTATCCCAAAACATCTGTTTTCCGGCCATCACTACCAGTTTATTGATTAATATACAGGTTTCGTTCAAAGAACATTCAATAGCAAAATACACGTGTTTACCTTGCCGATATGAATCAAAAACCATTCCGAAAGATAAATTTTATTTTTTGCGAAAAACGAAGGTTACGTTTTTTTTCTTCTAAATAAATATAAACATTTCATATTTGTGATTAATTGAACAAATGCGCTACGATATTCGAAAAACATACGTTACTATTCACATTTCAGAACAAAGCGGATGTGTCTACCATTTTCTGTTGCGAATTACTCACAAATACGAAATGTTTGAATTTGTTTAGAAGAAAAAACGTAACCCATCCTTTTTTGCATAAAAATATTTATTTTATATTAGGAGCGGACTGCAGATCCAATACCTCTTCGCATTTCTGTTATCCGGATAGCAAACCCCAGTTCCTACAATTAGAGTGATTCAGCCAGTAATATCTGATGGTCGATGTGGTGTTTCTAGAAATTAGTATCAGGATCGCAGAAGCGACGAGAGGTCATTATAAGAATTCAAGTTTCCCGCAAATTTTATATTAGGAGCGGACTGCAGATCCAATACCTCTTCGCATTTCTGTTATCCGGATAGCAAACCCCAGTTCCTACAATTAGAGTGATTCAGCCAGTAATATCTGATGGTCGATGTGGTGTTTCTAGAAATTAGTATCAGGATCGCAGAAGTGACGAGAAGTCATTACTAGAAGAATTCAAATTTCCCGCGAATCTTATATCAGGAGCGGACTGCAGATCCAATACCTATTCGCATTTCTGTTATCCGGATAGCAAACCCCAGTTCCTACAATTACAGTGCTTCAGCCAGTAATATGTGACGGTCGATGTGGTGTTTCTAGAAATTAGTATCAGGATCGCAGAAGCGACGAGAGGTCATTATTAGAATTCAAGTTTCCCGCGAATTTTATATCAGGAGCGGACTGCAGGTCATTACTAGAAGAATTCAAATTTCCCGCGAATATTATATCAGAAGCAGACTGCAGATCCAATACCTCTTCGCATTTCTGTTATCCGGATAGCAAACCCCAGTTCCTACAATTACAGTGCTCAGCCAGTAATATGTGACGGTCGATGTGGTGTTTCTAAAAATTAGTATCAGGATCGCAGAAGCGACGAGAGGTCATTATTAGAATTCAAGTTTCCCGCGAATTTTATATTAGGAGCGGACTGCAGATCCAATACCTCTTCGCATTTCTGTTATCCGGATAGCAAACCCCAGTTCGTACAATTAGAGTGATTCAGCCGGTAATATCTGATGGTCGATGTGGTGTTTCTAAAAATTAGTATCAGGATCGCAGAAGCGACGAGAGGTCATTATAAGAATTCAGCTTTCCCGCGAATTTTATATTAGGAGCGGACTGCAGATCCAATACCTCTTCGCATTTCTGTTATCCAGATAGCAAACCCCAGTTCCTACAATTGGAGTGATTCAGCCAGTAATATCTGATGGTCGATGTGGTGTTTCTAGAAATTAGTATCAGGATCGCAGAAGCGACGAGAGGTCATTATAAGGATTCAAGTTTCCCGCGAATTTTATATTAGGAGCGGACTGCAGATCCAATACCTCTTCGCATTTCTGTTATCCGGATAGCAAACCCCAGTTCCTACATTTAGAGTGATTCAGCCAGTAATATCTGATGGTCGATGTGGTGTTTCTAGAAATTAGTATCAGGATCGCAGAAGCGACGAGAGGTCATTATAAGGATTCAAGTTTCCCGCGAATTTTATATTAGGAGCGGACTGCAGATCCAATACCTCTTCGCATTTCTGTTATCCGGATAGCAAACCCCAGTTCCTACATTTAGAGTGATTCAGCCAGTAATATCTGATGGTCGATGTGGTGTTTCTAAAAATTAGTATCAGGATCGCAGAAGCGACGAGAGGTCATTATAAGAATTCAGCTTTCCCGCGAATTTTATATTAGGAGCGGACTGCAGATCCAATACCTCTTCGCATTTCTGTTATCCAGATAGCAAACCCCAGTTCCTACAATTGGAGTGATTCAGCCAGTAATATCTGATGGTCGATGTGGTGTTTCTAGAAATTAGTATCAGGATCGCAGAAGCGACGAGAGGTCATTATAAGGATTCAAGTTTCCCGCGAATTTTATATTAGGAGCGGACTGCAGATCCAATACCTCTTCGCATTTCTGTTATCCGGATAGCAAACCCCAGTTCCTACATTTAGAGTGATTCAGCCAGTAATATCTGATGGTCGATGTGGTGTTTCTAGAAATTAGTATCAGGATCGCAGAAGCGACGAGAGGTCATTATATAATTCAACTTTCCCGCGAATTTTATATCAGGAGCGTACTTCAGATCCAATACCTCTTCGCATTTCTGTTATCCGGATAGCAAACCCCAGTTCCTACAGTAAGAGTGCTTTACCCAGTAATATCTGATGGTCGATGTGGTGTTTCTAAAAATTAGTATCAGGATCCCAGAAGCGACGAGAGGTCATTATAAGAATTCAAGATTCCCGCGAATTTTATATCAGGAGCGGACTGCAGATCCAATACCTCTTCGCATTTCTGTTATCCGGATAGCAAACCCCAGTTCCTACAATTACAGTGCTTCAGCCAGTAATATATGACGGTCGATGTGGTGTTTCTAGAAATTAGTATTAGGATCGCAGAAGCGACGAGAGGTCATTATTACAATTCAAGTTTCCCGCGAATTTTATATTAGGAGCGGACTGCAGATCCAATTCCTCTTCGCATTTCTGTTATCCGGATAGCAAACCCCAGTTCCTACAGTAAGAGTGCTTTACCCAGTAATATCTGATTGTCGATGTGGTGTTTCTAAAAATTAGTATCAGGATCGCAGAAGCGACGAGAGGTCATTATAAGAATTCAAGTTTCCCGCGAATTTTATATCAGGAGAGGACTGCAGATCCAATACCTCTTCGCATTTCTGTTATCCGGATAGCAAACCCCAGTTCCTACAGTTAGAGTGCGTCAGCCAGTAATATATGATGGTCGATGTGATGTTTCTAGAAATTAGTATCAGGATCGCAGAAGCGACGAGAGGTCATTATTAGAATTCAAGTTTCCCGCCTATTTTATATCAGGAGCGGACTGCAGATCCAATACCTCTTCGCATTTCTGTTATCCGGATAGCAAACCCCAGTTCCTACAATTAGAGGTCTTCAGCCAGTAATATGTGACGGTCGATGTGGTGTTTCTAGAAATTAGTATCAGGATCGCAGAAGCGACGAGAGGTCATTAGAATTCAAGTTTCCCGCGAATTTTATATCAGAAGCAGACTGCAGATCATTACTAGAAGAATTCAAATTTCCCGCGAATATTATATCAGAAGCAGACTGCAGATCCAATACCTCTTCGCATTTCTGTTATCCGGATAGCAAACCCCAGTTCCTACAATTAGAGTGCTTCAGCCAGTAATATGTGATGGTCGATGTGGTGTTTCTAGAAATTAGTATCAGGATCGCAGAAGCGACGAGAGGTCATTATTTGAATTCAAGTTTCCCGCCTATTTTATATCAGGAGCGGACTGCAGATCCGATACCTCTTCGCATTTCTGTTATCCGGATAGCAAACCCCAGTTCCTACAATTAGAGTGATTCAGCCAGTAATATCTGATGGTCGATATGGTGTTTGTAGAAATTAGTATCAGGATCGCAGAAGCGACGAGAGGTCATTATTAGAATTCAAGTTTCCCGCGAATTTTATATCAGGAGCGGACTGCAGAACCAATACCTCTTCGCATTTCTGTTATCCAGATAGCAAACCACAGTTCCTACAATTAGAGTGCTTCAGCCAGTAATATGTGATGGTCGATGTGGTGTTTCTAGAAATTAGTATCAGGATCGCAGAAGCGAAGGTAGGTCATTACTAGAAGAAGTCAAATTTCCCGCAAATATTATATCAAGAGCTGGCTGCAGATCCAATAGCTCTTCGCATTTCTGTTATCCGGATAGCAAACCCCAGTTCCTACAGTAAGAGTGCTTTACCCAGTAATATCTGATGGTCGATGTGGTGTTTCTAAAAATTAGTATCAGGATCGCAGAAGCGACGAGAGGTCATTATTAGAATTCAAGTTTCCCGCGAATTTTATATTAGGAGCGGACTGCAGATCCAATACCTCTTCGCATTTCTGTTATCCGGATAGCAAACCCCAGTTCGTACAATTAGAGTGATTCAGCCAGTAATATCTGATGGTCGATGTGGTGTTTCTAAAAATTAGTATCAGGATCGCAGAAGCGACGAGAGGTCATTATTAGAATTCAAGTTTCCCGCGAATTTTATATCAGGAGCGGACTGCAGATCCAATAGCTCTTCGCATTTCTGTTATCCAGATAGCAAACCCCAGTTCCTACAATTAGAGTGATTCAGCCAGTAATATCTGATGGTCGATGTGGTGTTTCTAGAAATTAGTATCAGGATCGCA